ACAAGCCAAAAACTGCATTTTACCCCTATGTTTTATTTTTAGCTGTGGCGGCCATCTTGGTTGGTTGGCCGGGTCACGCCACACATTTTTTAAACTAGATACCCCAATGATGATTGTGGCCAAGTTTGGTTTAATTTGGCCCAGTTGTTTCAGAGGAGAAGATTTTTGTAAAAGATGACTAAGATTTACGAAAAATGGTTAAAAATTGACTATAAAGGGCAATTACTCCTAAAGGGGTCAACTGACCATTTCGGTTATATGGACTTATTTGTAAATCTTACTTTGCTGAACATTATTGCTGTTTACAGTTTATCTCTATCTATAATAATATTCAAGATAATAACCAAAAACAGCAAAATTTCCTTAAAATTACCAATTCAGGGGCAGCAACCCAATAACAGGTTGTCCGATTCATCTGAAAATTTCAGGGCAGATAGATCTTGACCTGATGAACAATTTTACCCCATGTCAGATTTGCTCTTAATGCTTTGGTTTTTGAGTTATAAGCTAAAAACTGCATTTTACCCCTATGTTCTATTTTTAGCCGTGGCGGCCATCTTGGTTGGTTGACCGGGTCACGCCACACATTTTTAAAACTAGATACCCCAATGATGATTGTGGCCAAGTTTGGTTAAATTTGGCCCAGTAGTTTCAGAGGAGAAGATTTTTGTAAAAGTTTACGGACGACGGACGACGGACGCAGGACGACGGACGCAAAGTGATGAGAAAAGCTCACTTGACCTTTCAGGTCAGGTGAGCTAAAAATAACTGATTGTTGTGACCAATCAAAAAATAATTCATCGATGTAAATATAGCCGATGAAATAACTACGAAACTTCATTAAAAAAAATGTTTTGTTCATTCTTGGTGAAATTACATTGGTTTTATTTTATGATACCATAGACTATACCAAATTTTAAATATCTACTTTTTAAAGATAAACAGTAAAATAACGATGTCAAACACCCGTTTTAAAGGTGAAATTTATACAGGAAAAGGTTAAACTTTTATTTAGCACAAAAAGATGTGCAATGGAGATTAATCTGACTATTTATTTATCAGCTAACTGGCCACTTCTATTATGTAACCGAAGTCTCGATGTATAATCAACTAATCAAGAAGGTTGTAAAATCACGGATGTGATGCATCCAATTATCAGTCGGATGAGTTTAAAACACCTGTGGAGTGTTGTCACTTGTCACTTCATTTTCAAAATATCGATAATAAATATTTACAGTTATAATTTTCACACATAGCGGGATGCATTGCGGCAATGATGAAAGCATGGCGGGCGAAATTTATGCGTAGCGGTACCAAAATGCTTGAATAGCCTAGAGAAAACACTGATGGTCATTGCAATCTTTTTTTCCTATGAAATATGAAATATCAGTTATTTGTGAATGAGAGGCAGGTGTTATCTGTGAAAAGTCAGCAAACTTTAAGAATACTTTACAATATCCAGTTTACTGCAGATTTATATATATTTTATCATTTATTGTAAAATAAATGGGGATTGTGTCCATGGGACACAGATGATGCCCCTGCTAGCATAAAACATTATAAAGGGACATAACTCCACAAAACATTATAAATGGACATAACTCAAGAACGGTAAAAGCTACGCTACCCAAATTTGTACTTGATCTGAGTCTTGTAATAATAAGCATTGTGTATAAGTTTCATAATATTTGGTTGAGGCAAACTAAAGTTAGAGAACGGAAACAAATTGTAAAGGGGCATAACTCTAGAACGGTAAAAAAGTGACGCCACAAAAATTCAAACTTGATCTGTGTTTTGTGGTAATTAGCATTGTGCATAAGTTTCATAACATTAGGTTGAGGCAAACTAAAGTTAGAGAACGGAAACTAAAAATTTAGCAATTTTTCCATTTATAAAGGGGCATAACTCTAGAAGGGTAAAAGTGATGCCACCAAATTTCAAACCTTGATCTGTGTTTTGTGGTAATAAGCACTGTGTATAAGTTTCATAAAATTTGGTTGAGGCAAACTAAAGTTAGAGAACTGAAACCAATTTTGGGACTACGAACAGATGCAGACAGACAAGGGTAAAACTTAATGCCCCCTCCGCTACGATAGGGGCATAAAAAATCTCAGAATAATTTCTCTCTTGCAGGTCTCCAGATGATTCTAGTGTTACAGGTAAAATTTCTTATACATGGAAATGTTTTGATGTTCTCGTCAATTGAGAATTCAGTCATATGTTCTTCAGTGGAATTGATGCTTATTTTGATTGAATCCGGGTATGTTCGCACCCTTTTTTATTGGTTTTGTGTTGAATAATTTTATAGTTAATTGCAGTAGATAAGTTTTTTTTATTGTTTCAAAATGGCGTGCTATTCTAAAAACGTAAATAGGTTTCCTGTAGTGTTTTGTTAATTATTTTGACGAAATGAATAATTAATACAAAATTGTCATGATGATCAAGGCAATGTTTATTCATCTAGGACTTCTAAAAGAAGGCGGAATATACCAAATGGCTATCAAATTCGTCACAATGACATTGCCACGACAACAAACCTCGTTTTTTTTAGATGTTCATGGTGTTGCATGTCAGCTATAAGTACCTACATAACATTTATTTCATGTGCAAAGAATATATATTTAATAATTAATCATCAAAATCACAAAAAAAAAATATTTCACATAAAAAATTCCCTTATTTTTGCTCCTGAATAAATATTTTTATATAAGTTAAGACTCAGATCAAAGTCTGGTCTCTAATCGACGTCCAAATCTGATGTCATAGTGAAATATCATTCCAAATCGACATCCAATATTTGACTTCTCTAATCGACATCCTTTTTACGGACTTGCCACAATGACGTCATAATTTTGATGAAAACAACTGTCATATTTCTGATTTGAAACAGTCATTTTCCGAAAACAAATGTTTTTTTTTAACTAAAAACTAAAACAGCTGTAAAAAAAATATAAGATTTTACATTTTTCAGAGTCCAACTGATTATACTTTTCAACTAATGCCTGTATTTCTTTATTCTGTCTAATGTTTGAGACCGTATATTGCTACCTAGAGGTCTTTCGATTATCTCTGTCGTTGGGTTATTGTCTCATTGTCGTATGTATCTACATGTCATTTATCTATATGAATATGAAAGGAATAAGACAAAGTAGATCGAGTGGATTTACTTCTTTCACTAAAATATTGTATATGCATGAAGATGTCGGTGTTTGTCTTATTGTCATTTACTGATGTTTGTCCTTTTATTTTTATTTAGTTGATTATGTGGGACGGGATGTTGTCTACATTTTGATCAATGAGAGGAGACTCCGATCGATAGGATGTCGTTTTGGTAATACATGGCGTCACGTTGGACATCGATTGGGGAGTACCAATATTGGGACACGGATTTTAAAATGTGACTGTACATGTAAGACATAATAGTGTCTGTGAAAAAGTGTCCATCTGGACAGTTTTTCATAGAATTTTGGTATCAAATAATGTCCATTGCCATGAAATATTGTCCCTCAAATGGACAGATTTTTACTGCAAAAGTTATGAAATAGTGTCCACCCACAGGACAAGTTTTCATAGTAGTTGCTATTAAATTGTGTCCTCCAAGGGAAGTAATACAAAGGTCATTAAAAAGTTTTATCATAATTGAATTTTAATAAAATCTGAACGATTGATTAGAAATTGATTAATATACAAATGTAAACAAACAAATAATAGATGGAAGTGAATATAGAGACATTTAAGTTCTAAGAAATACCCAGCTAATGCTATAAATGACAATGAAAGAAGAACAATAAGAAGGAAGTGTGTAAAGTATAAAACCAAATGTGAAGTCTTTACTATATTTATTATGAGAAGAAGGCAAAAGAAAAAAAGAATTTTGGTATTAAATTTTGTCCATTGCCATGAAATATTGTCCCCTAAGTGGACAGCATTTTACAGCAACAGTTATGAAATATGGTCCACCTACAGGACAATTTTTCGTAGCAATTGTTATTGAATTGTGTCCTCCAAGGAAAATAATACTGAACAACATCTGTTACTTGTTTGAATTTAAATCATTATACATGTATATATATTAAAAAATATATATAAGAAGATAAGGATGGTATGAGTGCCAATGAGACAACTCTCTGTCAAAGTAACAATGTATTAAAGTACGTAAATTAAGGTTAAAATACTTCCAGTAATAACAAGGCAATGGATATCATTTAATACTTTAATCATATCAAAAAATGCCCACCTGGACAGAATTATAGTATTAAATAATGTCCATGTTCATGGACACTTTTTCGTACCCAAGGACATATTTTCATAGGAAATTGTGTCCGGGACACATTTAAATAAGTAAATATTGTCCATGGACAGTATTTACTATGAAATAATGTCCGGTGGACATTATTAAATCCTACATACATTGGACGTCGTTTTGAGGATCGGACATCGATTAGAGACTGGACGTCAATCTGAGGCTAACATATATACGTCCTAAAAACATCTAATAATTCTACCAGTATTTCAATAAAAATAAGGAAACAGACCCAGTGGACTAATGTGTGGGGTGCAAACGACTGAAACATGTAGGGTGGGAACTGACCCGATAGTGGATACCATTTTTAAACAAGGACACTTTTCAGATTTTATGCCAGCCATCTTCTTTGGCATTGATAGTTTCTTGCACATATTATATTTATGTTTAGTGTAAACTTGAATAAGCTGTCCTGTTAACTGCTTGGGGTAAACTATACTGGAAGTGGAGTGAAAGAATTGCCATTTAGATTTAATATAACTTATAAGAATGTATGGATTTTGGATGGATCTATAATACAAATCCCTTTTGGGATTCTGTGTCCGGAGCGATGTCCTGATTTGGCCGCCTCAGAATCCCTTATCATTATTTGGACCACAACCAGTGATAACTGTCATATGTGTTGCCTTTTGGTTTCGCTGATCACGCTTACGACTTTAATATGACATTAACTTATGTTTACAAATTTGCATCATACTATTGCATATATCTGTAAAATCAGGTACTTTTGAAGTTGGTAGGAATCAGAATGGCAGTTATTACTTCTTTGATTTGTTCTATTTTTACTGTTCTGGATTAATTGGAAATATTCTATTCAATCTTCTACTATTCTGCCACTTTCATCTTCCCGCTGTACAATGTTTATGACCATCGGCACATGGGTATCGTAATACGCATGCCCAGTAGCAGAATCTAGAATCTCGTTTGTTTGCGTAGTCGATTTTCTTTAACTTTTTATTTATATGTGAAAATATATATATCTTAAGCTTTCGGAAAGCATTGATACCTTGTGAAAAATCTTGATTCGTTTTATTAATTGTCATTTCATGCTTTGTAATGTTAACATTTTTTTCTTCGACACGTGACATGTATGGCCAATCATTTTACTTCGGTCGATACGTGAAGACGTAGTGATCATTTGTGTTCGAAAGATCAGTCGAGTTTGATGCATTCTTGCTCCGTACAGAAATTTCTTTTTAAACATATTGTATCAATACATACCGGAGAATAAGTTTATGATATTCTGGACATTATTTTAAAACAAATTTAACTGGATTTTCACTTATTTAAAAAGTTGTTCATGTCAGGTGACAGCTTTTATCCAATCAAAACCTCTGTTTTTTGTCTGGCTGTATAAATACCTTTCTAAGCCGGGATGGTCGTTTATGTTGATGACTGATACGCTGTGGGTCCTGTTGAATCATGTGGATTGAATGGACATGACGAGCCATCCGACACTACAAAGGTTTCAGCAGAACACCCCAGTAACCAGTGCAGGGTACTTTTATTAAATTTTTTGTTTAAAACAATTTTAAAAGTGCAAAAAACTTAAAAAATGTCAGTCAACATCACAAACGACGCATAAACCGCCATCTTTTCATGGCTGTGTTCACATCGTCTTAAGAAAATAGCGTTATTTTTCATCTTTATGGATAAATTTTGAGATTTTTTGCATTTCTTTGGAGTCTGTAAGTCGACATCAAACCAACATCTGATATTCAACTTCTTGAAAATGTAGAAGTAGCGAAATACACGGTAGTGAATGCATTGATTAATTTCCGCTGATTTTGCACTTATCAAGGACCTATGTACCAATAGGAAACAAACGTACGCGACAGAACGTGAATAATAATGTAAATAGATGTTGTATTTATTTTGTATGATAGTTTGTGTTAATTATTATTGAAATAACAGCCCATGCATGGTCTTCTTTCGTTTTGTGAACGTGTATTTTTCCACGTGAAAATGGCGTCTTTTCACAAGAAAATGACTCATTCATTGTTCTAGTAGGAAGTCCTTTGTTGATATATTTATCGTTTTGGGCATATATTGTGATCCCATCATAAACATACCCAATTTACAATTTGATAAACAGCGTTTCATTGTGTTGACATTACATTATACATTGATTGATTTGTAAATGCTAGTCACCCCAAATGATGCAGGTTGGGATCACTAGCCCATATGGATTATTGAAATATTATTTGGGATAAATCTTAATGCGATTCAAATTTGCAGTCCAAAATCTGGATTTCAGCAAATATGTATAAAAGTACATTTGTGTATAGATCATATACAAGCAACTTTCAATGTGTTCAGAAGCTATCTTAGTTGCTATATTAATACATCAATCTCAAGTTGTTTTTGTGAATGAGTTATACTGGTTGACCCTGGTCAATCAATGTAAATGACATCATAGAACAATCAGTTCTTACTCTGATATAATAGCATAAATATTGTGACGGGAAATGTACAGGAAAGTGTAATAATTTGAAATTCGTCTTATTAATCTGATTGCTATTAATGAATCTTTGACACTTGTGCTATTTATGAATCTTCGACACTATACAACAATTCACTTTTGCATTGTAGTTGGATGTTTTCATATGTGACATGTATTTTTTGGGAATATCTGATCATTCATGGCTCAGACATAAATAGGTTAATTTCGCTTTTGACGCACAGTGGTCTAACGTTGCATGTTGAATACTAGGTAGTCTCCCTTAATTTAAATCAAAACAACTTCAAATATCCATGTTCCAATGTTTAAAATGTTGTGAATCTAAATGAAACTCTGACACATTGATAAGCAATACTTGGTCTTCTGAAGAAAAATACCAGTTAAGACCAAAGTTTGTTCACTTGCAAACACAAACATTTATTACCACTGAAAATGGAGGAAAAACATGGCTGCAATTTTTATTAAAAAGTTCCATTCTATAAGTGCAATCTACTATTAGATTTTTAGATAAAAAGGGAAAATAGAAAAAATGAATGCAGCAGAAAGACACATGGCCTAAAAAATTAGCAAAGCAAACTAAAAAGTTCTCCAAACACTCAGATTGAGCAACCATACCAAAATTCTGAAGGTTCAACAATTCCTGCTACACCTATGACTTGTAAATTGTAACACTAAACCTAGCGCTTGTTTTTTCAGGATTTTTTCCTTTTTTTTTGTCATTGAACACTTCAAATTTTTTGCTAATGCTGTGATATGTGGATTTTCTCATTCTCACTAATAATCTTCCATCTCCCTCAGGATGCATGTTGGAAATACACATTATTGCTTGTTTGACTTCTATTATATATTGCACATAAAAGTTCTATATTATATAGTATAGAATCCATATATATCATATATTAACACCAGTCTGCACCAAAATCTTTTACAACTACTAGTCCGAAGACCAATATTCCAACATTTTTCTTATATGTCTTAACAAATGCAAATACTAGTCCGAATAAAACTAGTGGTTAACGTTGCAGACTATAACATACATCAAGAAAAAAATGTTGATTTGAAAAAATGCATTTTTGAAAATTTTTGTGTGTAAATATATAGAAGTCAAATGAACAATATCTGCAGAAAGTTGAGAAAGTGATGCAATTTTATTTACTCGTAACTGTTTGATAGAGGAAAATCTACTCTAAAGCCAGTGTTTTTTAATTTGTTGGTTTACAGATTTTTTATGAGAAAGATTGAGGTGGGTTGGTCAGGGATAAAACATTTTAGTAATTTACATGAAATAGATATGTACAGAACTACTGTGTTCTTCAGCTTTTTTTCAAGCAATTTTCACAATACATAGTGAAGAAGTGCAAATTTGCTGCATGAAAACACCTGTTTTCCACCCCCTAAGGAGACCCGTCAAATGTAAAGGACAAGAATATTTGTTTTGACTTTTTGTTAGGTAACCTCACTTTGGAAATCCAAATGAACGAAAATTTTGTACAACTTACAAATAAGAAATTCAGAATTGTTTGTGGTCATGTTGGGAAGGTCATTGATATTTTAGGATGGAATTATGGAAAAAGGAAAACAAACTTTGTAACATAGGTCATCATTCCGTTAAATTATTTGTGTGAAAGAACATTTAAATCTGTTTGATTTTCTTTATTTATAATTTTATTATGCCACAAATATTTTGAGATTTTATTTACAAAAGCAGACAATTTGTTACTTCTGTTTTTGCTAAAATATGATATAATAATGCACATAATTTGAGGCAAATGCTACTACACATATATTTCAGGATATCAAATTTGGTAGAGTAGGAGGGAATAAATGACAGTTTGAAAATAATTTTTTCTCTCTCCGAAAATTGGAAAAATTGGGTCGTTGATCTGTAAACCAATAAATTTAAAAACCCTTACCTGATGGAAAAGGCTGCTATGCATATTCCCCATGGGAAAAAAAGATCATCCATTTAACACAATTACATTTATTTTGTCGAGATCTTGTGTGAAGTTATTGAGTGCAATTACTCCGAAGGCCAAATAAAAATATTTATGTGTGGTTCCAGTTACAACTTACATCCTGAAAAGAAATAAGGTTGGTAGGTCTGCATTTTTATTATTTAAGAAAAAAATTATTTTGGGTTGTCACAATCCGGAAAAAATTGTGTGTTCACCAAGTCTTGATTCCAGTATTACAAACGCCCCTACTAGAAGTTCACCATTTTCTATATGTTTGGTTGTAAAATAAGACATGTTATGTTTTTGAGGGGCATTATGTTATTCAGTCCATTTGTCTGTCCCGTCAGGTTAAAGTTTTTGGTAAAGTTAGTTTTTGATGAAGTTGAAGTCCAATCAACTTAAAACTTAGTACACATGTTCCCTATGATATGATCTTTCTAATATTAATGCCAAGTTAAGAGTTTTGACCCCAATTTCAAGGTCAACTGAATATAGAAAATGAAAGTGCAACTGGGGCATCCATGTACTATGGACACATTCTTGTTAGTTAATTATGTAGCATTCTGTTAAGAATTTGTTGCATATTTAGCCTTGAATTTTAGTGGCATTTTTTCTCAGCTGTTCTAAAACTTACAATGAATGTCACGGTCATATATGTTCGTTAAGAGGGGAAGTGCATTTACAAATTGGTCTTGAATCAATGGCATGTTATGAATAAGGAAAGATAATAAACATCAATATGTTGCTTTCTAGCAATTTTCACAAAATACATTTAAGAAATGCAAACCTGTTGCATGAAAGCAAAATGGGATCATTCAAAATTTATTTTTCAGAAATGGAAAAAAAAGTTCTTGGGTCGGTCTGATAACTGGAACCACACATATATTTTTATTTGGCCTAAATTAGCATTCAAGATTACCAGTCTGGGTAACTCAAACCAAGAGTTTGACAGAAAAAAATGTTCTATTAAACATCTTGGTGAAGGAGAACCAAAACTCCAGCTATAAGACATGTATTTCTAAGGAATATTCATTGTACCATCGCAAAACATTCTCACCAATTAACATTGTTGCAATGTTAAGTCAATTAACATGGAATTGATTCAAACCATTAACTCTTTGTTTTTATTTTCATGACATTTGACCAAGAGAATAAAGTGAATTTTGTTTCACTAATAATTAAATCCCACAGATGATATTTTTCAAAGTTAGTAATTATGTCTAATAATGAATATATCCAATCCACACAAAATAGAGAGCAGAAAAATATTTAAAACTGGAATGGGTTCTGCTCAAGTCGTCTATATATAATGACCAACAGATAATTCTAGAATTCTTATTTTCAATAAGATTCATTATAAAAATAAGGAGATGTGGTATGATTGCCAATTAGACAACTATCCACCCAAGTTCATATGAAGTGGATGTAAGCAATTATAGGCAACCTTACAGCCTTCAACAATGAGAAAAACCCATACCGTATAGTTGGCTATAAAGGCCCCGACATGAAATATATGAAACAATTCAATTGAGAAAACTTACGGCCTACTTTATAACAAAACATTATACGAAAAACAAGTATGACGAGACATTATTCTTTTGTGGCATAATGATAAATCAGTAGAGTGTGACCAAATAATTACAATCAATTTCAAGTAAACAACCAATAGAATAAATGATATATTTATGATTATACATAAACAGTATAAAACTAATGGCTGTTGAAAATTACTATGCTTTGATTCTTGCTTAATTTATAGAACTTGCATGAAATCAGATAGTGACTATAACAGCATGTTTCGATTTTCTATTTACAGATACATGAAGATGTCCATTTAAATGTGTTGTGGACATGTACTGGGGAAATAAACACCCAGTGGGACATACTTGTTCTTTTGTAAAAGCCTTATGATTTAAGGAATATAAAATGATGGCAGATATGACGAGGTATGAAAAATTCCAAGTTATAACAAAAATATATGCGTGTCCACTGACCTGAGAGACAAAATTTTGTGTCATAAACAAGCAATATTTTAAACATCAGAATGTGTTGCCTAGAAATTTTTTTTAAGAGTTACAGCAGCTTTGCATGAGTGCAGTCATTCCCAAGGTTGCTGGTCATTGGGCAAAGACCAGTAAGAATTGGTTTGGTCCAATTAATTGATATGCATTACTGGACAAAATGACCAGTAAAAATTTTAATTTTGTCAAAATAATGTTATTGTCCTGTAAATAAAGAGTATGGTCCAGTTAACGAAGAATGTTTTACTGGACCAAATGTCCAGTTGATTTATGAAAGCCTTGGGTATCACTGTGAGTGAGACCATATAGCAGTGAACCTAATTATGATGTGTTGCTACATACACCATTTAATCCAATTAAAACATTTTTACCACTATTTGAAATGAAAAGAAGATATCTCCAATAATAGCAATTTAGCCTTCCAATGCACACAACAGTCATGACCGTGCAATGTTTAATTATTTTTCATTGCAAAATGATTGCAATCTTTTCCTCTTCAGTGGTCTGACACAAGCACTTTAATCCACAATTACAACTAATTGTTCACTGTCAAAAATATTCTATAGACATGAAAGGAAAATCAAGAAATATTTTGTTGTATTTCAGGATTGGTGGCGACTCGTCTCTAAGCCCTTTGAGACACAACTCTGCCAGTGAATATAACTTCACAAGTGATTCTGAGAAGTCTGATGTCAAAGTTGAGAACGCTGTAAGTATTACAGCTATCTGACCAAATAATCTCAGCTGAGTGAATGATATTTATCATTTATTTATTTTCATAATTTAAAATCTTTTTTTATTCAAACTTCTGGAACCCCATTTACAAATTTTGGCGTTGAGCATCTCTGAAGAGAGATTATTTGCCAAAATGGCCTTTTAAATGGGCATCTGGTGTAGTAAAAGTGGTACTGTTAATGTTATTACAATAGGCAATCGGTAAGTAATGCTGGAAATGATGGGACATAATTATATTCTAACTGTTGCATTAAAAGAGACCAGTTTATATGAATTGGTTTGAACTGATTTGAAGGGGTGTTCACATATACCGTAGAAAGGCTTGTATAGTCCGCGGTTTTATTCTCCAAAATTGGACCTTCCAGACGGGGTGCGGACTATAGAGTACAATAAGCAAGAAATAAGAGAAAAATTTCAATTTCGCGGTCGAGGTGGTTTGTTTACGTTCCGCCATCTTTGTTATTTCTATTGTAGAGGGCGCTCTTATCATTTTTCAAACTAATAATTTTAACTCATCCATATTAATAAGTTATTTCTATTCAATATCAAATTAATACTGATAAATATAAAAACTAAACCTTTCATTACAAATTTCTCGTTTCTTTTCAATGCATTGGGTGAAATAAACTGGTATCTGCTCGATTGAAACGATACAAACATAGTGAAAAAGACAACCGTAAACCAGCTTAGAATTTGTAAACTACAAAACGAAATCGGTTATTGTTCGTTCCGTTTTGGTGTTTCATACTGACTAATATGGTTTGTATTAGCTTAAGACCCTTCAAACATTAATGTGATAGATATATTAAAGACTGTTTTACAAAAGGATGGAACTGTTTTACTTTCAAAGTCGTATTATAGTGATATATGTTATGTACGGATTTCGACTCTCACCGGTTAATTTCTTCTTTTACACGTGCTTTTTAAACTTCCTGTTAAAACATACACAAGTATCTAAATTGTTTTTTAAGTGAATTAAACTTATTTTAACAATCATGAAGCGTTCTAGAATCATTAACAAGCAGTTTCAGCTTCTGTTTGATGATGGAAAACAGGTTTTTCCAAGAAAATACCGCAAACGACCGCACAGGATTTGAAATTACCGGAGTTTCATTAGACCTTTTCTAACAGTTACAAAAAGTTTTTTTACCTAAAATTTCGTGGGGAGAAGGGGGTGCGGACTATGTACCACTGCGAACTATACAAGCCTTTCTACGGTAGCTAGAGATTAGGTTAATTCCTGAAAAATGTTGTTTTTAAAAAAAGGACACTTATTTATTTGTAGAATGACTCTGATTTCAATGATCCAGCATCACCCCTTTCTTCTACTCAAGATCATGTTTCATCAACGGAGAAAAAGAAGGGTCGAAACACAAACCAGCTACAGTATCTTTTAAAGAATGTAATGAAGATAGTATGGAAACATCAGTATTCATGGCCTTTTCAAAAGCCTGTCGATCCATCTCTATTAAATCTTCCTGTAAGTATTTTAATGCATCTGCAAAATTTGTTTTCCAATGTTCTTCAGTACATCACAATAGGTTTCAAACAATCTTGAGTATGCTTATTGAAGGCTCTACAGTGACCTGTAGTGTAATTGTTTACATTCTTGTCTTATGGTGGATAGATGTCTCATTGACAATCATACCACATTTCTATGATATATTCAATGAAATTTATACTTGGAACTTTATTTTTGCTTATATTATTTGGAGACAGCAGGCATAGACTGTTGATTGAAAAACTTGGAACTTCAAACTGCTTAAGTTGATTAATACACATCTGTCATATTTTAACAGTTACAAATTAAATAAAATTGTGTGGGTGTAGTAAACATACATGTCTAAAAAATTTCGCTTGGTCTAGAAATTTGCATATGAAAGGGTTAACGAATAGGTTGAATTACGAGCTCTTTCTGTTGTATTCATTTATAAATGTGAATTTTTAACTTCAGAAATAAAATTGCATTATATTTATGCATTGCAATTACATTTTATTAACAGGACTACTTCAAAATAATCAAGCATCCAATGGATCTAGGATCTATCAAGAAAAAACTAGAAACACATAAGTATTTCTCAGCTTCAGAATGTATTCAGGACTTCAATCAGATGTTTACCAATTGCTACATTTACAATAAACCAGGAGAGGTAATAAATTTGCTTCAACTCATTTTTAAATTGCATTCCTTGTGGTTTGGCAATGTATGTTTGATTCTAATATATATTTAACTTTTAGTTTATATTAACTTATTTGTCTATTGACACACAAACATACTTAACTTCTTCATTTTTTTTTCTGCACAATCAAATAGGCATGCATGAAGCTTTTAATAGAGTAGCATACCAATTAAGAGTATGTATATATTTAAGTTGAAGCTACAAGCTGACTTTCAGTGTTCTTAGCTGACATGCATTCATTAAATAGTAATGGTTTGTTGTGATAGAGAAACATTTCTGGGGATCCCTGTAGTTCAATACTTTATCAACATATATTGGTATAATTTTTAATAACCAAGAGTTGTGGCTCCAAAACGATAAAAGATACCTAAATTATGAAGAGTTGAGGCTATAGAAAACAAAAATATTATGAAAATACTACATTATAATTGGCTTTGAACATGCACATAAATACTCTTTGAAACTTTTGCTAATGTGCTCTACTTTATATACATATTGAAAATATATCATGCTTTTTTTCAGGATATTGTGTTGATGGCCCAGGTGTTGGAAAAACTTTTTCTTCAAAAGGTAGCTCAAATGCCTGCTGAAGAACAAGAGGTGGTAGCTTCAAGCAAGAAGACTCCTAAAAACAAATTTAGAACTTTATCTTCAACACCGAAGAATTCTATAATGAAACCATTAGCTACTCCCACCCCTGTTAATTCTCAAACTTCCGCCCAGTCATCACAGCTTTCAACCACTTCCTTAGCACCAGCATCTACAACTGTTGTTACAGTAGCACCACCTAGTCAGACTATGCCTTCAGCGCCTGTTACAACAGCAGCAGAAACAACAGGGACTTACACTAATCATAGTATATCAGAGTCTGCTGTAATTCCTCCTCAAGCACCAACTAAGGTAAGCTATTGGAAAAAAACAATTAAGGTTGCATTCAGGTATTAAGATGCTATAAGGACTTAAGTTACTTATCAGCCAACAAACAATTCAAGATGGCTTTTCAAGGTTGGCAAAAAAAAACCCAGTAAAAACTAGTATACACCTTTCCACTCTCCTGTCAATCATCAGTAAATTGACCAATCACATGTGGTAAATTTACCACATGTAAACATTTGATAGCAGCATGTGTTGTCGGCCATAACCTTGGTCAAACATTCTTATCTAAACAGTTAATTTGATCTGATATTTCTTGAAAATTTTCACAATTAAATCGTCCAGAATATTGTTTTTATGCCCCTGCCGTAGCGGAGGGGGCATTAAGTTTTACCTTTGTCCGTCCGTAAGAACGTCCCAAAGTTGGTTTCCGTTTTCTAACTTAAGTTAGCCTCAACCAAATGTTTTGAAACTTGTACACAATGCTTATTACCACAAAATACAGATCAAATTTGAATTTTGGGGGTGTCACTTACCGTAGAAAGGCTTGTATAGTCCGCGGTTTTATTCTCCAAAATTGGACCTTCCAGACGGAGTGCGGACTATAGAGTACAATAAGCAAGAAATAAGAGAAAAATTTCAATTTCGCGGGCGAGGTGGTTTGTTTACGTTCCACCGTCTTTGTTATTTATATTGTAGAGGGCGCTCATCATTTTTCAAACTAATAATTTTAACTCATCCATATTAATAAGTTATTTCTATTCAATATCAAATTAATACTGATAAATATAAAAACTTAACCTTTCATTACAAATTTCTCGTTTCTTGTCAATGCATTGGTTGAAATAAACTGGTATCTGCTTGATTGAAACGATACAAACATAGTGAAAAAGACAACCGTAAACCAGCTTAGAATTTGTAAACTACAAAACGTAATCGGTTATTGTTCGTTCCGTTTTGGTGTTTCATACTGACTAATATGGTTTGTATTAGCTTAAGACTCTTCAAACATTAATGTGATAGATATATTAAAGACTGTTTTACAAAAGGATGGAACTGTTTTACTTTCAAAGTCGTATTATAGTGATATCTGTTATGTACGGATTTCGACTCTCACCGGTTAATTTCTTCTTTTACACGTGCTTTTAAACTTCCTGTTTAAACATACACAAGTTTCTAAATTGTTTTTTAAGTTAATTAAACTTATTTTAACAATAATGAAGCGTCCTAGAATCATTAACAAGCAGTTTCAGCTTCTGTTTGATGATGGAAAACAGGTTTTTCCAAGAAAATACTGCAAACGACCGCACAGGATTTGAAATTACCGGAGTTTCATTAGACCTTTTCTAACAGTTACAAAAAGTTTTTTTACCTAAAATTTCGTGGAGAGAAGGGGGTGCGGACTATGTACCAGTGCGAACTATACAAGCCTTTCTACGGTATATTGTTATAGAGTAATGCCCCTTTACAAATGGAAAAATTGCTGAATTTATTGTTCCGTTCTCTAGCTTTAGTTTGCCTCAACCAAATGTTTTGAAACTTATACACAATGCTTATTACCACAAAACACAGATCAAGTTTGAATTTTGGTGGCATCACTTTAACCGTTCTAGGGTTATGCCCCTTTACAAATGGAAAAATTGCTGAATTTATCGTTCAGTTCTCTAGCGTTAGTTTGCCTCAACCAAATGTTTTGAAACTTATACACAATGCTTATTACCTCAAAACACAGATCAAGTTTGAATTTTAGGGGTGTCACTTATATTGTTCTAGAGTTATGCCCCTTTACAAATGGAAAAATTGCTGAATTTTTCTTTTCCGTTCTTTAACTTAAGTTAGCCTCAACCAAATGTTTTGAAACTTATACACAATGCTTATTACCACAAAATACAGATCAAGTTCGAATTTTGGGGGTGTCACTTATTTAGGCCCCGCCAAATGGCCGACGCCCTATAGTGATCAGTCTGTCCGTCCGTCCTTAACAAATTGTGTCCGCTCCATATCTAGAGAACCATTATGATTTCAAAGTTTATACTTGACATGTATATTAACCAACACCAGAGGGTGTGTCATAATGTATGTACAACTTCTTAGGTCAAAGGTCAAGGTCACAAACTTTGATTTTAGTTGACAATCCCATGTCCGCTCTATATCTTGAGATCGCTCTATATCTTGAGATCCGTTATGATTTCAAATTTTATACTGGACATGTATATTAACCAACACCAGAGGGTGTGTCATAATGTATGTACAACTTCCTAGGTCAAAGGTCAAGGTCAAAAACTTTGGTTTTAGTTGACAACCCCATGTCCTATGGTAAAGATCGTGTTCACTCTATATCTTGAGAACCATTATGATTTCAAAGTTTATACTTGACATGTATATAAACCAACACCAGAGGGTGTGTCATAATTTACCCTTCAGGAGTAACTATCTCATTATACTTTAACACGAAAACAAATATATGAACAAAATATTGCTCTTATTTATATTTGTTATAACAAATTCTTTACTTTGTTATTATTCTATGTTCATAATAACGGCCATTTTGTTGATTAGCTTGACATAGGATGCTGGGTTGCTATGTGTTGCTAAGGGGGGCGGGGCATACCAGTAAATAGTGGAAAGGTGCATTTACCAGGTTGGCGGTAATTACTGGTCAATACTGGCAAAATAATGAAATTTGAATAGGACATTACTATAAAAACCGGTCATAACCTAGTCAATTACTGAGTAAATAGACAGAGATAGTTACAGGACAGAAAGTCACTAATCTACTGCATGTACATTGTACTAGGACAAAAAATCAAAATTCATTCATTAACAAGTGTTTGAATATACCTTCCAACCTTATCAGGCTATTAACCTACATTGCATGGATGTTGGGTTTCATAGTTAAAAGAAATTAAGTAGCCAAAAGAAGCATATTTAAGATGTGAGGTGTATATCAGTGACAAACCAAACCAACATGCAAACAATAACCAAAAAGATGAAAGAGCTCAACATCAAAAATGATTATACAAGCTGACTTGGAAAGGGTAGGGAGGAAAAAACAAAATTATGTGCTGAATTTAATCTTTTAAAATATGATTTTTATTTTGTTGCATCATTCAAAATACACAAAAAAATCAAAATATGTCTTGAAAACAAATCTACCTTCACACCTGGGCAAAGGTTGCTTGTAATTAAGTAAATCTTAATCTGTGAAGGTGAAACAAAAATCCATGTTTTAATTACAGCCATATCTTAATAGATATGATTGTTTCATGCCATGGAAACACAAACCATAAATAGACAACTTTTATTTAATTGAATTCTGTGTATTCATTTCTTTTTGTTGGCACCAGTTTATGTGAATTGAGGAAAATTGTATTTTCATTGATGCAGGATTTTGTGGTTTTACAATTCTGCATGTATAAGGCTAAAATTCATAATTTGTTGAATATTTAAATTCAGTTTATTGTTGACATGAAATCAATGAATAATGAAATCAGTTCAAATTAAAAACACTTTATAATAAAGAGAGGAGAAAAGGGAACTCATTATGAAAAATACTTGGAATTGATAAAATATTTCAGTAATCAAATTTAAGATGGTTCAAAGCAAAAATTGTAACTTGAAAGCTCTTTTAAAATGAATTTTTGCTGATTGTGATGTGCCTAATGTGTTCAGTATTCTCCCCTTGCCATTGGAACACATCAAGTCCTACCCATTGGACCCTAAATTGTTGCTTTATTGACTACAATGACTAGTTGCAGAAAACAATGTTCAGATAGTAAAAATTATTTTTTTGAAACCCTGTTTAATATGGATATGTTAAAATCACAAAAACAAACATTGACAATATTTGCAAAAACAGATACCATCTGCATTTTTATTATTGGCTTTCAGGCATGTACAATAGTTGTTATTAAAAAACTTCTTGTAACAAATCTAACATTACGTTGGTTGAATTATAACTTAAAGTTTACAAATCTTCTGATGTCGTTATAACAATTTTTTTGTTAAAACTTGTTAATTTATACAAATTTTACCTTTACTCCTGGGCAAAGATTGCTTGAAATTAAGTTATTCTTAATCAGTGAAGGTGATAGAAAATTCCATGTTTAATTACAGTCTTATCTTTATAGATACATGATTGTTTCATGCCATGGAAACACTAAAATATGACAAGAATGTAAAACTTGAATAATGAAGTAAAATTAATTACTGTAATCGGCTTGTTTAGTTCGCATTAGTACATTGTCCACACCCCCTTTTAGTTGGGAGAATTCAGGTAAAAAAGGTTTGTAACTGTTTGAAAACGCCTAATGAAACACTGGTAATTTCAAATCGTGTGTGATCGTTTGCAGTATTTTCATGGAAAAACCTGTTTTCCATCATCAAATAAACGTTGAAAATGATTCTAGAATACTTCAATAGTGTTAAAATAAGTCAAAATCACAAAAAATTACAACTTAGAAACTTGTGTTAGTTTAAACCAGAAGTTCGAATAGCATGTGTAAATAAAAATAAATACGGTGAGAATGTGTGGAAAATCCGTACTAATAGATATCACTAGAATATGACGTTTAAAGTAGAATGCTGTTAAATATATCTGTCATATTAATGTTTAAAGGATCTAAAGCTAAAACAAAACACACGAGTCAGTATGAATCACCAAAATGGAACAAATAACCGATAATGTTTTGTAGTTTATACATCGTTATGCATAAACTGGTTCCCAACTATCTTATACACTTTTTGATTCAGTTAAAAACAAGCGGTTTCCAGTTTATGTTATACAATGCCAATGAATGCTGTGAAAAGAAATTTGTAATGAAGCATTTAATTTTGAAATTAATCACTTTATATATGGACTAAATAAGCCTGAATTCGTTCTGCAGTTATTTTTTTCTGTTGGTGTTTTTTTCAGTAGTTTTAAACCGTTTTGATAAGGATTAGGCTGGTATCTTACTGATACTTTTAAAGTGTATAACATTGAAGTGCGCACATTTGCAGTTTGCTTGACTGGGTTCAAATAAGTGTGGGTCCGAAGTCCTGGACCTGTCTTTTCTAGGAGTTAGCTTTTCATTTTTTAATTACAAAAGTCAAGGACCTACCATTCTTTACACTGATGCTTTATACAGAACCATTGATTTTCTTATGTCATGGACCTTTTATTATTCAAAGCAAATTTAAACACCTGGCTTGTTTGTTAGGCTAACTAAGAAGTCTGTTTTGGCTATTGAAACCAACTTGGCATTAAATCATTTGCTGTTACTTTTCAGTAGATAGTGCTAGTAATATGCAAACAACTTTATTGTTCTTTATAAGGCACTAACATTCATTATCAAATGAAATTTTGAGAAATATACATCTTCATGTGGTCAGCACTGTCCTTATACATGTTATATTTATCATTTTCTAACTTGCAGTTTTTGTACAATTTTTACCTTCACTCCTGGGCAAAGTTTGCTTGAAACTAAGTTATTCTTTATAATCAGTGAAGGTGATACTAAATTCCATGTTTAATTACATTCTGTCTTAATAGATATGATTGTTTCATGCCATGGAAACACTAAAACATGACAATAATTTATACAAAAAATGTTATGCTAGAAATTAACATAAGGGAAAAATTATTAACTCTGGCAATTGTATCCAATTTTATTGGTGTTACATTTTTTAGACAAAAAGAGGTGTAAAAAGAAAAGCTGATACAACCACACCCATTGTTGCAACCATGCCTAAGGATCCTTCAATTGAATCAACAGTAAAAGTAGAAAAAGTTCCAGCAAAACTTCCTCCCACTCGAAGAGAAAGCAATCGTCCGATCAAAAAGCCAAAGAGAGATTTACTCGAGGAAGATTCTCCAGATCCAGTAAGTACATTTGGTTGAGGCAAATGTAAGTACCCATAGTGATTGCATCAAACAAATGGTTTTATACCAACCTATGATAGTAAGGGAAATTCTATTTTCTGACTTCACATCAGTCAATTATTCTTACTTGGTCTGTCCAGTACCAAGTTTCTGGTTAAGGTACCATGAAGTTGTGGTCTCATTAACTGGAAGCTTTGTGCACATGTTCATTTTAATGTGATACTTTTAGTTTACATTTAGAGGGTTTTCACCATGGATTTCATGGATTACTGAACATAGAAATGAGAGCGTATGAAAGCAGTACATTTTAAGGTTAAGGTCACTTGCCATGAAGTTGTGATATTTTGTACAAATGTTCATGCAAAATAACGTTCATGACCCAGATTTGTAGGTGTACAGAACATGGAAATGTGATGGTGTGAGCAGGGCATAGTGTTCTATGGACACATTCTTGTTAACAGGAATTTTACTTGTAATGTTAAATTCAAAACCTTTTTTAATTTTTATACGACCGCAAAAAAATTTTTTTGGTCGTATATTGGTATGACGTTGGCGTCGTCCGAAGACACATTGGTTTTCGCACTCTAACTTTAGTTTAAGTGAATGGATCTCTATGAAATTTTACCACAAGGTTCAATACCACAAAAGGAAGGTTGGGATTGATTTTGGGGGTTATGGTACCAACAGTAAAGGAATTAGGGGCCAAAAAGGGGCCAAAAATAAGCATTTTTGTAACTTCCAGACATAACTTGTGTGTTAGTGTTTGGATCTCTCTGACATTGTATCACAAGGTTCCATATCTCAAAAGGAATGCTGGGATTGATTTTGGGGGTCATTGCCTCAAAATTTTAGGAATTAGGGGCAAAAAACAAGCATTTTTCTAGTTTCATGACAATAACTTGTGTGTAAGTGTATGGATCTTTCTGAAATTGTACTACAAGGTTCCATATTACAAAGGGATAGCTGGAATTGAGTTTGGGGGTAATTGCCGAAACGTTTAGGAATTGGGGGCCAAAAAGGGGCCAAAAATAAGCATTTTTCTAGTTTCCAGACAATAACTTGTTCAAGTGTATGGATCTCTCTGAAATTGTACTGCAAGGTACCATACCACAAAGGGAAGGCTGGGATTGATGATGGGGGTAATTGCCTCAATATTTTAGGAATCAGGGGCCAAAAATGGGCAAAAAACAAGCATTTTTCTAGTTTCAGGACAATAACTTGTGTGTAAGTGTATGGATCTTTCTGAAATTGTACTACAAGGTTCCATATCACACAGAGTTCGCGAAAATGGTCGGTCCTGTCGGTCAAAATGAGGCTCGGACCAGTATTTTGAAGGCTAGTGCCGGTCCTGATGACCGATGTAAAAACGGCCGTTGTAGTGCATATTTCGGCACTTTTTTACATCGGTTATTAGAAGTACCGCAACTGTTTCCAATAAGTGTTTACATTGGTTATCAGATGTACCCGCTGCCAATATCCGGTACTGGTTTACGGATTTATTATAAACAAACCAAAGCGGCGATCTACACGTGGCCTACTAAATTTGTTCATAGAGCCATCCCTGGCAAACAATCTGCGATTGAACCCTACAATGGAGCAAACAAATACTGTTAACAGCCAAGAAAGTGATGAAATGGATAGTGAAGATGACTTTAAATAAGAACAATCAGAAGACCTGAACTGGTCCTTCATTGTTAATTTGCCTGTGGGTGCGAAGAATAAAACTAATATTAATAAAGTTATTTTTCGATAAAATATGTTATTAATTTTATTTCAGGATAAAATTGACAGATTTTGTAGGACTGACAAATAATCATGCTTTGTCGGTCCCATGACCGACGGGTCAAAATAAGTTTTCGCGAACTCTGATCACAAAGGGAAAGCTGGGTTTGAGTTTGGGGGTAATTGTCCTAAAGGTTTAGGAATTTGGGGCCAAAAAGGGGCCAAAAAACACATTTTTCTAGTTTCCAGACAATAACTTGTGTTCAAGTGTATGGATCTCTCTGAAATTGTACTGCAAGGTACCATACCACAAAAGGAAGGCTGGGATTGAGTTTGGGGGTGATGAATCATATGGGGGTTCAAAAAATTGGGGGGGGAGGGGATTTTTTTTTTTTCCTTTTTTCTTTTAAAATTTTCCATTTTAAGTTGGTTATTTCTGATTTATATTTAAAAGCAAATAATAATGATATGGTAGGAGATACACACCAAACAGGATGTGTAAATTATATAATAAGTATTGTGCAATAGTAAGAAATTTTCAATTGCACAGTATTGCACAATAGCAAGAAATCTTCAATTGCACAGTATTGCGCAATAGCAAGAAATCTTCAATTGCACAGTATTGCGCAATAGCAAGAAATATCCAATAGCACAATATTGCGCAATAGCAAGAAATTGTCAATTGTACAGTATTGCGCAATATTTTTAGCAAGAAATATTTAATTGCACAGTATTGTGCAAAAGAAGATACTTCGTATAAATTGCTTATTTCTTGACCAATTTCAATGGGGTTTTATTCTTGAATTCTTGGGGTTCTTTAATATGCTGAATCTAACCGTGTATTTAGTTTTTGGATTTTGGGCCCCGTTTTTAAATTGGTCCACATTGAGGTCCAAAGGGTCCAAAATTAAACTTAGTTTGATTTTAACAAAAATTGAATTCTTAGGGTTCTTTGATATGCTGAATCTAAACATGTATTTAGATTTTTGATTATGGGCCCAGTTTTCAAGTTGATCCAAATCGGGGTCCAAAATTAAACTTTGTTTGATTTCAACAAAAATTGAATATATGGGGTTCTTTGATATGCAGAATCTAACCATGTATTTAGATTTTTGATTTTTGGGCCCCGTTATCAACTTTGTCCACATTGAGGTCAAAAGGGTCCAAAATTAAACTTAGTTTGATTTCATCAAAAATTGAATTCTTGGGGTTCTTTGACATGCTGAATCTAACCATGTATTTAGATTTTGGATATTGGACCATAATAGGTGAATGTCCAATTTAAAATTTTTAAGTTCTTAGACCACCTTCATTCTGTGTCAGAAACCTATGCTGTGTCAAATATTTAATCACAATCCAAATGCAAAGCTGTATCAAGCTTGAATGTTGTGTCCATACTTGCCCCAACTGTTCAGGGTTCGACCTCTGCGGTCGTATCAAGCTGCGCCCTGCGGAGCATTTTATTTTTACTAATTTGATATTTCATGAAAAGCTTTAAACTTTTTTTTTTGATTCGCAGGAAAAAACAGTGTCTAAAGCCAAGAAAGGAAAACTGTCTGAACAGCTCAAATTTTGCAATAATATGGTGAAAGAATTGATTGCCAAAAAGCATGCTGTAAGTAGATATTTAAATGAAACCAAATTTTCAATCACAAAGTGATTTATACTGTAAAAATAACTATACAACTGAAATTGAGAATCACAGTAAGGCTTTGTACAACAATAGGACATTATGACTATTTGCTCTTTTAATCTAAACCTGACATTCAGTTGTTTACATACGAGTGTTGGTTTTTATACACCCGTTTACGGGACGTATTATGGTATACCGTTGTCCGTTTGTCCATCCGTTGTCAACATGTCGGACATTGACTCAAAAACGCTTTAACCAATTTTCATAAAACTTTGGTGCATTGTTTATATCTATTGACGTGAGCTCCCTTTCGTTTTTTATAAATTTTAGATTTTACGTCTCCGAGTTATGGGGTTTTATTCATTAAAAAAAGGGTGATTTTCCAGTTTTCAGACAATAACTCGAGAATGCTTTCACCAACTTGCAAGAAATTGTGGTGAATTGTTTATATCTATTGACATGAGCTCCCTTTTGATTTTTATATATTTTAGATTTTACGTTTCCGAGTTGCAGGGTTTTATTCATAAAAAAAGGGGGATTTTCCAGTTTTCAGACAAAAAATCAAATATGCTTTCAGCAGTTCTTATGAAACTTTGGTGAATTGTTTATATCTATTGATGTAAGCTCAGTTTAGAATTTTATAAATTTTACATTTTACATTTCTGAGTTATGGGGTTTTATTCATTAAAAAAGGGGGGATTTTCCAGTTTTCGGACAATAACTCAAAAATGCTGTCAACAATTCTCATGAAACTTTGGTAAATTGTTTATATCTTATGATGTACCCTCCCTTTACATTTTCAAAAATTTCTAATATGACATTGAGAATTAATTGAACTTTATTTGGTTATAGTCTGACAGCAGATTTATTAAGTATTGCGCAACAGCACAGTGTATTGCACAACAGCAAGAAATCTTTTATTGAATATAAATTCAATTCATATAACCAATTTCAAGTTCTTTGACTACATTTATTCAGAAACCTAGAATATGTCAAATATTTAATTACAATCCAAAATCAGACCTGTATCAAGCTTGAATATTGTGTCAATTTTTGCCCCAACTGTTCAGGTTGGACCTCTGCGGGCGTATCCAGCTGCGCTCAGCGAAGCAGTTTATTTATGCCCCTGCCGTAGTGGAGGGGGTATTAAGTTTTACCCTTGTCCGTCTGTACGTACGTTCGTACGTACGTCCCAAAGTTGGTTTCCGTTCTCTTACTTTAGTTTGCCAAAACCTTATATTTTGAAACTTATACACAATGCTTATTACCACAAAACACAGATCAAGTTTGAATTTTGGTGGCGTCACTTTATCCGTTCTAGAGTTATGCCCCTTTTACAAATGGAAAATTTGCTAAATTTTTCATTACCGTTCTCTAAAGTTTGCCTCAACCAAATGTTATGAAACTTTTACACAATGCTTATTACCACAAAAACTCAGATCATGTATGAATTTGGGTAGCACCACTTTTACCGTTCTTGAGTTGTGTCCCTTTTTAACGTTATATGCAAGCGGGGTCATCATCTGTGTCCCATGGACACATTCCCCATTTATTTTATCTCTAAATCTTTATGATTTAAATCTCTTTGTAGCTGTCCTATAGAATTGATCAGTTGTAGTATAAAAGATATTGGTAATCCAATTTGTAGTTAACTTTGATTGCCCTCTTGGGTTTGTTCAAGGAATAGATCTCAACACTAGCATATATTTTCAGGAGTATGCTTGGCCATTCTACAAACCAGTAGATGCAGAAATGCTTGGTCTTCATGATTATTATGAAATAATTAAAAAGCCAATGGACCTTGGAAGTATAAAAGTAAGTTATTAGATAATGATTTTACTGTTGGAAAAGTTGAGCGTGGCAACATCATTTTTTGAACTACATAAATATTGAATAGTTGATGTAGTTATAACCGCTCTTTAAGTATAGTGACTATTGTAATCACCTTGTCTGTTCAACTGTGCATTTTTTTTCAACATTTTTCTCAGAAATAAAACAGAATGACTTTTATATTTGGTCAGCAGCTTGTTGGTGATGAATTTTAATGCTTTATCAATTTTCAGATCTACGATACCTTCTTGTTTTTAATACTTTTTAATTACCAGGATACTTTGTACAAAAGTGTGTGCATTCTTGTTTGTTTCTATCCTTGTCTACACTAGATGCATTACAATATACTGTGTCTTTAGGAGTTTAATATGCTGTAAAGAATCTTATATGCTGGTGTTCTGAGAAGATAAACTCTCTTTCGATTATGCTATTTCAGATGTATTGTTCCAATGGGATGGCAATTTAATTGAAAAAATTAACTGTTAGGACGACATGATTACTCAGGTTAAATTTATTGGATCTTTAACAAAATTAAGAAATAATTCATGGGGCTAGAATATATCGTGATTTTACCACGGGTTGGCACTTTAGGCTAAATGTAAAATATCGGCATAAAGGAACAACCCGTGGTAAAATCACGATATATTCAAGCCCCCATAAATTATTCGATTCTAATAGGACAAATACAGCAATTCTTTTAGATGGAAGTGCTCTAGATGAAGGCAAATATTTGCCGTTCCCATAAACAAACGCACTTTTCAATTGACGTAAAAGAACGGAGAAAACTGAATTAGTGACATGCTTGACCTATTTACAATAATGTATTTAAATATGTTTGGATGAATTTAGATAAGAATTTTTTTATGTCCCCGCCGTAGCGGTGGGGGCATTAAGTTTTACCCTTGTCCGTCTGTACGTACATACGTACGAACATCCGTCCGTACGTCCCGAAATTGGTTTCCGTTCTCTAACTTGAGTTTGCCTCAAACAAATGTTATGAAACTTATACACAATGCTAATTACCACAAAACACATATCAGGTTTGAACTTTGGTTGCGACACTTTAACCGTTCTAGAGTTATGCCCCTTTATAAATGGAAAAATTGCAAAATTTTTAGTTTCCTTTCTCTAACTTAAGTTTGCCTCCACCAAATGTTATGAAACTTATACACAATGCTGATTACCACAAAACACAGATCAAGTTTGAATTTTGGTGGCGTCACTCTAACCGTTCTAGAGTTATGCCCCTTTATAAATGAAAAAATTGCAAAATTTTTAGTTTCCGTTCTCTAACTTAAATTTGCCTCAATCAAATGTTATGAAACTTATACACAATGCTTATTACCACAAAACACAGATCAAGTTTGAATTTTGGTTGCCTCACTTTAACTGTTCTAGAGTTATGCCCCTTTATAAATGGAAAAATTGCAAAATTTTTAGTTTCCGTTCTCTAACTTAAGTTAGCCTCAACCAAATGTTATGAAACTTATACACAATGCTTATTATCACAAAACACAGATCAAGTTTGAATTTTGGTGGCCTCACTTTAACCATTCTTGAGTAATGCCCCTTTATAAAAGGAAAAATTGCAAATTTTTTAGTTTCCGTTCTCTAACTTAAGTTTGCCTCAACCAAATGTTATGAAACTTATACACAATGCTTATTATCACAAAACACAGATCAAGTTTGAATTTTGGTGGCGTCACTTTAACCGTTCTAGAGTTATGTCCTTTATAAATGGAAAAATTGCTAAATATTTATTTTCTTCTTAATATCAAGTTATTTTTAAAATTGGAGTTATCTTCCTTTGTCCATGATTATAGTTGAATGAACTACAATCAATGCTTTATACAATGCAATGTTTAATTTTGACCTCCACTGATAAAACACAGATCTAGTTGAATTTGGGTAGTGTCACTTTAACCATTATTGAGTTATGGCCTTTATAAATGGAAAGATTGCAAAATTTTTAGTTTCCATTCTGTAACTTAAGTTTGCCCCAACCAAACATTATGAAACCTATACACAATATTCATTACCACAAAACTAAGATCAAGTACAAATTTTTTGTTTCTGTTTTCTAACTTCAGTTTGCCTCAACCAAATGTTATGAAACTTATACACAATGCATATTACTACATAATACAGATTAAGTACAAAATAAGGTGCAGACACTTTTACCATTCTTGAGTTATGTCCCTTTATAAAAATAAAAATTGCTGAATTTTTTAGTTTGTCTCAACCAAATGTTATAAAACTTATACACAACTGTTCTAGAGTTATGCGTGTTTACAAATAGAAAAATTGCTGAATTTTTAGTTTCTGTTCTCAACTTAAGTTTGCCTCAACCAAATGTTATGACACTTTTAAACACAATGCTTATTACCACAAAACTCTGATCAAGTTCAAATTTGGGTAGCGTCACTTTTACCGTTCTTCAGTTATGTCCCTTTATAACTATATGATATGCAAGCGGGGGCATCATCTGTGTCCACATGTGGACACTATCCACATTTATTTATATGTCTAATATGTATAAAAAAAAATGGATTATAACACATATTAGCATCGTTTGTATGTTTCCTTGTTGTGATGATGTTTTTCGGTTTCACAAGCGTGTATTTTCCCGTTAAATCCTCATATTCTTACGTCATCATTTTATGATGTCAGGAAGCTCATTTATAAAAAAGCATATGACGTGGGAGTACGATCAGAACAGCCCAAACAATATATTCATATTTTACCAAGGGTGTGTAAACAAAGCGTATGAAGAATGTCGTGTTAGAATTTTACACAATGTTTGATTGTAAAAAAAATTCGCAAGTTATTGGACATTATTCCAATATTCATGAAAGCTTTTGGAATCTCATGTGTCTTCTTATTCCACATAATTTAATAGAATTTTGTTACAACCTAACAACCAATAAAAGCTAGGTACCACCCCTTTATTTTTTGATATTTTCAGAATTGTGGATCTGAAGTGATGGAGAATAGGGGATTGTCTTTTCATGCACTCGCAGTGCAGCATTTTATAAATACATGTTTCATGAATAGTACAATAGTAATTTTTGCAGGTTTGCCGGAAATGCAAATAGTCTTTAATATAAGATAGGAGCACCATAAATTGATGGGCAGGCAGGAGTGCTTTAAGAAGTGTGTGCGCTTATTTTGAGGAAACATCTCCATTTTCAACCCAGACCATTCAAACTTTACTGAATGTTTGTACATACATTGTATAAATGCATCTCAACTATTTTGAGAATTTTATCAGATTTTCCAAATGTTGAAAGGGACCATGTAAACTGTTGTCAATCAGTTTTAGCATGTCTTGCTTCAACTCAAGTATACTTCAAGGAATCAGTACCAAATTTTATTTCAATAAATAAATTGATAAAATGAGATTCAGATTTATTTTATGCTACATTAAACTATGACCTTTAAGAAAGTATATTTTGCACTTGGACGTTATACAATTGTTAATTCAAAAACATTGTTTCTATTACTCATTTACAACATACCTGTTATTAATATTTATTTTAATGTTTGTTTCAAATGTGATGAGAAAAATTTACATTTTTATGTTCAAAAGACAATTTTTTTAAATTGCTAAAAGAAGATTCAGTAATGATATAAATGATTTGTATTGTGTTTTCTTCTAAATTTTCTAATAACAACAAAGTAGCAGTGGTCCTTGAAAGAAAACAATTAATGAGGATGAAATTTGGGTTTCAAATATCTATATTTGAATTATTACATTTCAGAAAAAAATGGACAATAGAGAATATAAGTCTCCTTCAGAGTTTGCTGATGATGTACGGTTAATATTTACAAATTGTTATAGATACAATCCTTCTGATAGTGACGTTGTAATGATGGCTAAAAAACTGCAGGATGTATTTGAAATGAAATATGCAAAATTGCCAGATGAGCCACATACTGCCAATGGTGACAAGGCAGATAGTGGTAGTGATACTTCTGAAAGTGAATCAGAGTCTGACAATGAAAGTGAGGAAGAAAGGGAACAAAAAATAAAAAGTCTTCAGGAAGAACTGAAAAAAATTCAAGATGATTTAGGTAAATTGACAGAAGAACATATGCAAAAATTAAAACAGAAAAAGGAAAAGAGTGAGAAAAAGAAGAAAAAAAAGAAGGAAAAAATTGAGAAAGTTAAGGTGATAGAGACACCTGCTTTGGTGGCATCAAGCACAAATGCTACAATTGTGCCACCATCTGTGAACGATGTAAAAACACCGAAAGTGAAAACTACGAAAAAATTGCCATTAGAACCAAAAAGTACAAAGAAAAAGACTCCAGCAACTCGTACACCTAGTGCTAAGAAAAATAAGATAGTGTCTTCAGGGACTGGTGGGCCTCCTCCACCTGTGGCATTTGATAGTGACGATGAAGACAATGCTAAACCAATGACTTATGATGAAAAACGACAGCTCAGTTTGGATATTAATAAACTTCCAGGTAATGCTAAATTGAATGTGTTGTGATTGATTTGATGCTTCAGATTGGATTTCGGTAGTGTACATTTTTCTTGTCAGTTCGAATAAAAGTTCTTATTCGAATTTTTGCAGGGAAGTTGTTTCCAGATGCTGAATGAAATACTACATATGGGATTGAAACATTTTTGGATGTATGATCACTTGTGAGAGGAAAATCACTTATGATTTTGAGGTCATCTTGTCAGATTTCATGTCAAGTTTTTAAAAATAAAACATAATTTTGTGCAGAAAAGTGGTTTCTGGATGCAAAATAAAATACTGCATATTTGATTGCAACCTTACTTGGATATATGGTCACTTGTATTAAGATATTTTAAGGTGACTGTCTAAGGTCAAGGTCAAAGAGACTAAAAATAGACAAAATTTGGTTTCATGATGCTTAATCAAATGCTACATATGTGATTGCAACCTTTATTGGATATATACCATTCTCAAAACACCAAAATAAATTCTTTGAATGTTACTAACAGTAAAAACTCAGCACAAACCCGGAATAAGGGCCGTCCTGAACTTGCCATGTTGAAGCCATGGCTCTGACTTAGACGATCATTAACAATAAAATTCTTATATCTTACAAATGTTGATCAGTTCCTCATGAACTAAACATGAAAGATCAACAATGTTAAGTTTTTGAATTTTTTTTTTGTAGTCTGTATATGTCTGATTTGTCATGTATTGGTGATGGGAGCTCAGATTTTTCTGATGATCAATGTCTTCAATGCCTTTAAATTCTCAGGTCTCATGACTCACTGCCAAACTAGATTTATGACTCCATTTGTTTTAAAATTTGAATTCCATGATGGTGGAAATGGCTCATTTCCTTCCAAGTTCTGTAGTTTAAATTGATGTGCAAATGTTTTTTTGGAATGATGTTACAAGATGTCTTTAAATGTGTATCTTATTCCTGTTGACAAAAATAAAATGATATCCCTTCTAGCTTGACAGTTTTTGTATAATCTTTTTTTTGTTGAGCCTTTGGCAAGTATACATGTATAACAACAACAAAAAACTTCAGTCTTTGATTTTTGTAGCTAGTTTTTAGTATTAATTCAAACCAACATGTAATTTTATATCTCGTATACCTGATAGATGTATAGTCAGACTTTTATGCAAACACCTGATTATTATTGTACATTTATTAAACTTCCTTGTAAATATTCTGTCAACATAAGTCTTAGATGTGTCACTCATCTAGTTGGTCATACAATTTCTATTTTTAGTTCCATTAAAAGATTAGGGATGAAAAATTATGTCTGAGGGGTGCACTTCTTAACTACAATTTGCCTGGTTAATGTTTACGACTTTACTGCACTCATGATTTAAAGGTAGGCATCAGAATTTAAAAAAAATGGATATACTACATATGTAGAAGGAAAAATTTTGAAATCATTGAACTCTCGGGTTGTGAACCAACTGTCATATTGGCATAACCCTATTATGATATTGTGTGGCCATGTCATATGGAATTGATTCTTGAAGCCTTTTCTAAGTGGAAAGTCTGTTAATGATTTTTTTTTGCTTCACAGGTGATAAATTGGGAAGAGTTGTGTTCATAATTCAGTCTAGGGAACCGTCCTTGCGAGACTCTAATCCAGATGAAATAGAAATAGACTTTGAAACTCTCAAACCTTCCACGTTGCGAGAATTAGAAGCATATGTGATGTCTTGTCTGAAAAAGAAAGCAAGAAAGCCATATAGTGAGTATTCAGAGATTGTTATTTGCAATAAATATATATATATATGAATTGTATCTTGGCAATAATATACATTTGTAAAAGAAACAGTGTTTAGGCCATCTTTGTCTTTCCTGCACATGATTTTTAAGTAAGTGGCAATTACTTAGATTTTTGTGGCTGCCGTTTCAGAAATTTCTATATGTTTACAGTTCGTGCTTCGTTCCTGTTGATCAACTTTTGGACATAAGAAACTTTCATGAGAGTTGTACTTAGATATAAGGTGGCAATGAGACAACTCTCCATCCAAGTCACAATTTGTAAAAGTAAACCATTATAGGTCAAAGTACAGCCTTCAACACGTAGCCTTTGCTCACACCGAACAGCAAGCTATAAAGGGCCCCAAAAATGACTAGTGTAAAACCATTCAAACAGGAAAGCCAAGGGTCTACTCTATATAAAAAACGAGAAACACTTATGGACCACATCAACAAACGACAACCACTGAACATCAGGTTCCTGACTTAGGTCAGGTGCAAACAAATGCAGTGGGTTTAAATGTTTTAATAGGCACCAACCTTCGCCCTACCTGAAACAATAGTATAACATCACAACATAGAAAGACGCACTATAAAATATCAATTGAAATGGCTTAACTCAAAAGATATATTAACAAAAACAAGTGAACATACACTGAACGAATAAATTTGATCTATGACACAATGTAAATACAAAATTAAATAAAACAAGGGGGTTAGATGTAAAAGAATACCAGAAAGACCACTATTACCTTGGACAAAATGCTGCTAAATAAAATAACGTACACGGGTAAATAAGAATAATTTTGTTGTAAGGTATATATGGAGTACGGAAATAATTTTGTCCTAAAAAAAATTGTAATTTGTTGAGGTTTTTGGTACTTGTGTGTTATGTTGACTATCAGATCAAGATTGTGTTTTGCTCCAGCTGTTGATCAGCTGTTGGTGTAATAAAGATTATTAAAGGCCTTGGGCTTAATCGAAGAAAATTGTACTTGTCTTGACTTTTCACATAGTTCCTGCTGTAGTGTATGAGGATGCCTTACAGGGCTGTTTTGGGTTGCGTTTTGGTAGACCCAACTTTTTAGCCCCCTACAGACGAAGTCGAAGGGGACTTTAGGTTTGTACTCCGTCCGTCTGTTTGTCTGTTCATTCCTCAGTTCGGCAAATCAGTTTTCCACACTTTTTTTCTTCATGCTTGAAGATATTGATTTGATATTTGGTGTATTGTTTTATCATGACAAGTTACAGATCCAGTTCGAATTTTGTTCCTTTCTGATGATTTTGTGATTTTGTGCGGAGTTATGATCCAATGACTTAGAAAATTCACTAAAATAATCAGTTTTCCACACTTTTTTTTTGTCATTCTTGAAGATATTGGTATAGTATATAGTTTTATCATGACAAGTTACATTCCAAGTTTGAATTTTGTTCCGGTCTGATGATTTTGTGCAGAGTTATGGTCCTTGGACTTGAAAAATTCACTCAAATAGTCAGTTTTCCGCACTTTTTTTCGTCATGCTTGAAGATATTGACTTGATATTTGTTATATAGTTTACACCCTGACAAGTTATAGATCAAGTTAGAATTTTGTTCCAATACAATGAAATCTATCCGGTAGGGGACTATGTATTGCCATGCAATACTCACAGAAAGCTTGTTATAATTAGGGCAGGGGCATCAATCATTTCATACAGCACACATCTAGTTTAATATGAATTCTGAAACTTGTAAACTTTAAAGTTATCTGGCATATTTTTTTTATTGGAAAAGTTCTCCATTTTCTCTACACAAAGATATAGTTCAGTTATGAATGCATATGTTAAACCTTTTAATTTTTCATTCTCAGCCAAAAAAGCCTCTGGGAAGTCAAGAGAAGAAGCTCAGAAAGAGAAAAAGCTAGAGTTAGAACAAAAATTGATTGAGGTTCATGAAAAGCTGGGAAGTAGTGCAAAGAAAGCCAAGAAAGGTCAGTAAATTGGTTTTTTTTTAATCACAATCTTAGATTTACAGACTTTTCGTTATTTTGTAACGACTTGTTTTCCCAAAGATTTGAGTTCAGACTTTTGTCAGTTCAATTTTTTAAAAATAATTTTTAAACTGCACAACAATTTCTTTTTCTTCAACTTCAAATACTTTTTCAAATTCTTTTCTTATGAACCATTTGGGATGATTTTGAGACATTTGGATTTAAAGCCAAAAGCCCATGACACTGAAAAATATGTTGAACAGATGTATATGTAGGCCTACCCTAGGCCAAATTTGTAAAACATTGTTGCCAACCATATGATGTTTAAAAAGGGTCATTCCCTTTCTCTTGGAAATGAGAAAGATGGTAATAGCATGGCACTTACTGTGGATGTTTATGAATTAAAACGTAGGATTAAATACAGCTGTGATTTGTACATCACTTTTATTTATATCTTGAAATTTTTGTCGTGGTTTACCAGGCTTAATGTATCAACAAATCACTGATAAACATTCATGGTTATAAAGAACTGACTGAAGTGATTACTATGAATGACCTGTCATTTAACATTTATGTTTATATAGTCCTGTAATTGAATGATTCAGATTGTTTACACATAATTTGCTGAAATGAGTGATTTTATTTGTAGAAGAAGGAGGTGTTGTGAATGTTGATGGTGCCAGTAGATTGTCAGATGGTAGCAGTAGCTCATCTGGTACAGATTCCAGCAGTGACAGCAGTTCATCAAGTTCTTCAGAATCAAGTGATTCTGAATCAGGTTAGGGAAAAGGCCAACAAACTTTCACACAATGATCTGAGCATTTGTCATAATCCTTCATAAGTCTGTGTGATCATACTTTCATAATAAGCAATCTGCCATTATCATTGATGAATGTACTGATTTTGCGTTGGTTGTGTAAGAAATTTTTAATAGGGTGTGCAGCAGGGCTGTATAAATGAATTTTATATTTATCGTCAATCATTTTATGTGTTTGTTTACTAGAGCTTATTGAAATCCAATATTTGATTTAAATATTAAGAACAAACAATCGCCAAGAGTGCAGAATGTGTTAAGATGTTGAGGTCAGCATTTTCTTTGCTGTCATATGTTGTTAAGCTTTTTTCAAACATTGATATGAGCCATGAGAATATGCCCTTTGTTTAAAAGTATTTCTATTCAGGTGTAGCCATGAATTTTAGTTTGAAATTATTTATTAGTATCCTGTTTTTCTTTTGGCTGAGAAACTTGGAATATCAGAAACTAAAATAATTAAAACTAATTTCTGATACTTAATATATAAAAAAAATCATATAAAGAGTGTAGAAACATGGCCTCATCATCACACATTACAGCACTCCATGGCTGATATCATTGTCCATTCCTTGTTGTCAAACACATCATGTTATTAATGTACTTCAAATTACGCACGTTTTGAACAAGCATTGTGAAAGACGAAAAAAAACATTTAATGCTTAATTTTACATTTATTGTGCTGTGTCGAAATACATTTTTTGTTCTTTTATTTTCTACAAGAAAGAATTGTAAATATTCATATAGCTAAAATTTATTGCTTTATATTAAATAGATATACAAATTTTTTGTATTGTATCATTTTATAGTGTAGATTTTCATTTGGTGTACATACACTGACCCCATTGTCATATTATTGTAGATCTCATGTCAAATAAAATTAAAAACAGATCTTTCGTATTTTATTATTAATATGAAACACATTCTGCACTCTAGGTTTAAAATGTTTAGTTTTAATCAAATACTTGGGATACATCTATGCTTTAAAACCTGTTTCCCACTACCATGTCTGGACCTATAAATTGAAAAGTATGAAAGTTTTACCATTTTCAATTTATTTTTAACAATTACTATTACAGACATTTAAGTTTCATTGTAATCCTTTGAAAAAGAATAAGTCCTGTAGACTGAGGTGGAAACAGGTTTTACTTTTGTTTCAGAATTTGCAATTGCAGATAATCAACACACAACCAAATCCTTGCAATGTTCAGGTCATGAGTATTGAGCAAGGAAATTTAAGGTAGTCAGAAGTTGCCAAAATTTTGTTATATTGGACTAGTCTGCCAAAGTTTATTTCACCTGGATGAAGTAACTATGATTTACAGATGGACTATTGAATCAGTTATTCAAAGCCTTCAGCCTCGGCTACATTCTATACATGTATATCAAATACCAAATCAAAATTGTCAATTTCAAAACAAAACAAAAATACGACACATTTTATTACTTGCATGAATAATTTGAAACCAACTGAAATCTCCAGTGTCATTACATATAAACATGATATATGCATAACAGCATTAATATTTATAATATTTTAATGACCCTGACTTACTGAAGGGAAATCCACTGCTATAAACATGATTTACAGTGAAACAAAACTTTCTGAATTTTGTCTGGAACAATTTCAATCACATTGTAAATGTTAGGTACAAAGATGGTACCGACACTTCCTGAATGGGAAGGATACAAGTAAACTGTTGTCAGATTGAATATCTACAGTCTTTATTTTTTTTAAATTGTTCACCCTGTAGTCATGTTTATATATAAAAAAACAAACCCAAAGCACATGTAGAAATTGGAAAATTACCAAAATGATTGTGTCAGTAGGAAGATCAAAATGATAAATTCAGAAATACAAAACAGCCTTCCTAAACAAGAAGCTAACAAATAAACATACACAGGTATTGAACAACAATTCACACTGAAGAATATGGAAGTGAAAGGAATCCTTGTGCATCTCATGGATTTGAATTCTGCCAGCTAATTTTATAACATTTTCAAAGGTGGTTAGACCTCCATCAAATTTATTTGCATTGCATATTTGTTTTGTTCAGTTTTCTGTCTAGGCCAACTTCCATAATTGATAGTTATTATAACATGGTCACTTTGTTCGATTGTTATATAAAATGGCTGTGGTTCATAGCATGATAAAGAAATGATGCCAAAAAAATATTTCTGATCAAATAACATGCATATAAGGCATGTATATGAAAGTGGTTAATACAGACATAGGCTGATAGTGGATTACAAGTTCAAAGTAGATGTATAAATGGCAAAAAGTGCTATTATCTCTGATATATATGCAACTTACAGGTTAAAGTTCTGATTTATTCTAATATGCTGAAGTATGCAGTGCACATCTTGCAGGAAAAACCATTGAGACTTTTGTTATCACTTGGTTGTCCATCCTCTGTCAATCCTTGTTATATTAGAATAACTGGTCAATTTAGAATTAAGATATTCTACAGTCATAAGTTGTCCAGTACGCTCTTTCAAAAAACTCTGTCCAACATTGTTGTCTTGTGATGAACCAACTTCTATCATTTACTTGTTAAAAGTACATTATAAAATGAAAAATTTGATAAAAACAGCCTGTGACTGGAATGCTGCTTCAAAACCTTGGCCAAAGGAACGTGCCAGCCAACATTACTAAACGTAGAAAATTGACAGAAATATAAATCCCAGTGACCCAAATTTAATTGTTATTGAAGGTTAATGATAATTAATGATTCAATGTTGTCTACAACATCAAAAATGTCTCCCAAGTTACTAAGACCTGCATGTTAAAGGTTTTGTGTAGAACCAATATAGTTAATCTTTAAAAATACGATACAATTATTGTGCCTCTTGATCACCACTACTGCCACTGTTTCTGAAAATTTAAAAATTTGACAAAAAATGTTTAAAAAAAGTTCTGAAATCTTCTGTACAGAATTACTTGTTACCAGGCTTAAGGTAAATTGAACTAGTATACATTGTTAGGGGACCAGCTGAAGTCCACCTCCATGTGTGGGATATTCTCTGCATTGAAGACCGATTGGTGGCATTGGGCTGTTTTCTGCTCTTTGGTTGGGTTATTGTCTGTTCTATGCATTACCTGTTTCCATTCTCAATGCTAGTATATCACTTTTCAAGTTGAGGATGCAATCTGCCATCAATGATTGGAACCATTACTAAAGCAAATGTCAAAGGGTATTCTAAGAGTTTTTAAGAGCCGGTTATTCCCCTACTTGGAATTATATTTGTGATCCCTATTAAGACATCAGTTGATTACTGATATGGAAATTGACTGCTATGCTTACAAAAAATAATAAAAAACTGATATCATGCTTGTGAACGTCCCAAGAACTAGGGTTTGTTTATTGACTTTTATTTAAATTTTGACTCTCACTTAAAATATTGAAGAAATGACAAAAAGTTTAATAAAACATTATGTGATCCCCTCTTATTTGCAAAATGATAGGAAAATTACTTTTCTGACCCCCTTATATCCAAAGTTACTGATCTAAATGTCTACCAAACATGGCCACATGGCAGTTAATGGACTGATATTTGAGCATATGTCCAATCTGATTTAAATACAGATCCTGTTTCCTAGCTTTGCTGACAAGGATCTGAAAACGCTCTGTTCTACTTTCTGTTTTGAAGACCTTTCTGCCTTTGGTTTTGTCAGATCAATACACACCTTCAAAAATTTGAAGGCTGAAATTTCATTGGTTGATGTATTAATTACCAAAACAAAGAAAAACGGAGTGTTGTCAGAACCTTGTAAGCAAAACTTGGACACGAGATCTGTATTTTAATGAGATTACCATGTATCCAACCTTCTCCAAACCTAGTTCGAAAGTGCGCTTGGAAACAAGAAGACACTTTTTGTTTCTTGGGCTAGTAGGTCATAGGGACAGGTCACAGTGCTTGTAAAAAGATTGATTTTGTTTTTAGACAATATCATTTGAGCCATCTTTACCAAACTTGGTTTGATGATATTTACTGCTTAAAAAGACAATTGTTTTTGTCATGTGAATTTCCCACTTGTTATGAGTTATAGAATTTGGTGTATGGGATCCTTGCAAGGTGTGCATGTCTGGTTGAGTTCATCTGACTGTTCATGGTTCATTGGTCAATGTGAAGGTCTGATTCTCAGGTACTATAATCAATAGAATGAAAAATTGTTTGATTCCTTCTCAATCTGAAAGGCTAAAGCTTTCTTCATAAGCACAGTGAAGTCTCGAACATTTCTGTGTAACCTTTAGGAGATGCCTAAATTTTGAACTAGGTTATTTATCCAAACATAAACTTAAATTTTCTGAGAAAGCCAGACTCCCAACTTTTTATTATGCCCTGCTGTCACTGGAGGGGCATTAAGTGTTATCCTTGTTCGTACGTACATATGTACCGAAATTGGTTTCCATTCTCTAAATTGTTTGGCTCAACTAAATGTTATGAAGCTTGTACCGTATTTTGTTGTGTATATGAAGCACTTTTTTTGCCCCAAAAATGTAGTTGGTAGAGGGGATGCGTATTATACAGAACTAGACGTTTTTTTGTATTGATTTTATTTTAATTTTTGTCGAACCTTCGACTTTTGTCGAAAAAGCGAGACATAGTGATCCTACATTCCGTCGGCAGCGGCGTCCACAAATATTCACTCTGGTTAAAGTTTTTGAAATTTTAATAACTTTCTTAAACTATCCTTGATTTCTACCAAACTTAGACAGAAGCTTGTTAATGATCATAAGATAGTTTCCAGAAGTAAATTATGTACAAAAAAAATTCCTGTTTTTCCGTATTTTACTTATAAATGGACATAGTTTTTCTGCCAGGAAACATTACATTCACTCTGTGGTTAAAATTTTTGAAATTTAAATAACTTTCTCAAACTATCCTGGATTTCTACCAAACTTGGACAGAAGCTTGTTTATGATCATAAAATAGTATCCTGAAGTAAATTTAAAAAAAAAATTCCTGTTTTTCCATATTTTACTTATAAATGGACTTAGTTTTTCTGCCAGGAAACATTACATTCACTCTGTGGTTAAGGTTTTCAAAATTTTAATAACTTTCTTAAACTATCCTGGATTTTTACCAGACTTGGACAGAAGCTTCTTACAATAAAAAAATTGTATCGAGAGGAATATTTTTATTAAATTTTTTCCTCATCTCATTTTTGTTGAGCCTGCGATTAACAGCAAAAGTAGGCAAGACACTGGGTTCCGCGGAACCCTTACAAATTTTTTAAATTTAAATTTTTTTTTTTATTCATTAATGTATATATTCAAGACAAGCTTAGACACACATTGATTTCAAAGGGAATCTTTAATTAATAACTTCACTTTTACAAAATTAATAAATGTCAATTGCATGATAAAAGCTCTACCATTTTATTGTTTATGGCTTTAAATTATTTAATTAAACAAAAAATATAATAAAAAAAAACCAGATTTCTTGGAACAAGCAATCTTATATATTATTTTTATCTTTCAATAGACTTAAATGAAGATTAAATACATGGTTTAAAAGTTCCCTATCAAAGATTTTTTACAGTGAACTAGTCTTTTAAAAAAAAAAAACTTTTTTTTTCTTTTTCTTTTTAATTTCATTGTTTTTATTCAGTTTTTTTTATGTGATTTTGGAGAGATGAAAAGGGGTGTGTATCATACATAACTGCGTACTACTCACGTTAAACTACGGTACACTGCTTATTACCACAAAACACAGATCAAGTTGGAAATTGGGTGGCGTCACTTGTAGCATTCTGGAGTTTTGCCCCTTTATAACGTTTTGTGCAAGCGGGGGCATCATCTTAACGCATTCAGAAATGATTCTCCATGTATTTATATATATATCACAAGGTACCAAGATGAATACAGCAGAAACTGCAGATGTATGATTACAAAGGCGTGAAGTATGAAAAAACACAACAAAATCTGAGATTGTTTGTCCCATTATAAAATGTGAAAATTTTTGTTAGCAAGAGATATTTATTGTAGGATCTCCAATGAAGAAAAAAAAATCACGTTCAAGACATGGTAGTTCTGAAGGTCCTGGGATAGTTAATCAGGCCAAAGGGAAGAGCCAACAGGTAAAAAGATGATAAAATTAATACAATTGATAGTAAATTATTGAACACATGTTCCAAAATGGGTTCCCACAAAATAAAACACTTTTCTCCAGTCCTCGACAGATTTTTGTTAAAAAAGATCTAATGAAGAGAAAATGTTTTTTGCAACAAGTGAAAACCGTCTATACACTGTGAATGCACTTTTAGGATATGAATCTAATGTCAAAGTCCTCATTAAAATAAATAAGGGATAAAATTTATCAGTTATTAAACTTATTTCTGTTATTTTGGTTCATAATTTTTTTCTTAAAAGTTTCTGTTAGAAAAAGATTCCATGATGAGAGGGAGAGTGTTTAGGATAAATTATTTTATGATACTTTAATAATTTAATTTCTTGCATCCATGTAATATTAGAATCGCTGGTAAAAAGCAGCTTAACATGCCTGATATTTCTCCCCCAGAAAGGTTATGTTGAAATTTATATTCATAATCATAATTCATGTACATGGAATGATTGAAGCTTTATGATAATTAGTCCCCTACAGACAAAGTCGAAGGGGACTTTATTTTCTTTGATTATTGAGAAATTGTCCACACATGCCTTATATAACTTTATATGTGATAAAATTAGAGGAGTGCATTTATCTTATTGAGAATATTTTGTTGATCTATGAATGTGGAAGGTTTTTTCAAATACAAATACAGTGGTGCTTTAAATTATGTCTTGCTAGCGAAGAAAGTTGCAGTATGCGAGACATAGGGATTACGATCCAGTGGTGATGGCCGCGGCGATGTTAACTATTTGTATAAAGCTTTATATTTCAGAAGGTAGAAGACCTGGATGCTTCATACCTTGTATGTAAATACCTTAAGTTGTGAAGTTTCCATCTGTCATATGTCCATTGTCCTTGCCCTCTTTTTCATGGTTCAGCAACTGCTTGAAAAATAATAGAGGTTTTATGTCATGTGAATTTTTCACTTATTATGAGTAACAAGATAACTATATTTGGTTTATGGGTTCTTTGCAACATCTACATGTCCATCAGATAGGGTTCACCTGAACTTGACCTCATGGATCAGGGATCAAGGTTAAAGTTTTAGTTACATGATTAGGCCTTTTTTCAGATACAAAAAGCAAAGGGTCAACTATATTTGGTGTATTCAAAGTCAAATATGCAGTTGTTAATAGTTTTCTTTCTCAACAAATACCCATGTGTTTTTCATCAAATATTGGACACAAATACTGTAATGAGAATTTCAAGTTAAAATGTTCATGAAGATTGAAGGGTTCTCCTGGTGCTCCCTGTTTGAATACTTTCTGTTCAAAATCCATGAAATGATTCACTTTTCGAATAAAATTCCCCTTTTTGATGACTAAAATTTAGAGTCTTGTCTAATATTTTAACACATTTCCCACTTGTGGAACACACAACATTTCATATATTTTAGACAACGCATATGTCTTGTACATATTTCTTTGTATGAAATTGTAAATGATTGTCATAGAAGCAACAAAGCTATGTTTTTTAAACTTTATTATTTTAGAAGATTGATCGATTGTTTGTTGGTTGCTTTATGTCCAGTGGCAAATAATTCATGCATATTCAGGATGAGAAAAAATTAACTATGTCTAATACTAAAGCTCTAAAATTCATCAACAGAAATGAGGGACAAGAAATAAAAAACTGGAATATCTTAGAAGTTATGGGAATAATCACATGGTCAAAAGACTGATATAGTAAGCAGAGCTTTGACTTTATTGTAAAGCTTGAATTGTTTATCACTGCACATATTTATCAATAATTTTCATCATTTGGTAGAAGATAATATTTGCATTTAGTTGATGTGCTGTTTAACACTTCAAAATTTAACTACCTGATTTATTCCCCTGGTAATGGTTATAATATAAATTTTCAAAACATACTTCAGGTTGGTAGTCGAAGAAGAAGCAGTAATGCTTTGTCATCTCCCCCAGTCAAAATTACCATCGGTGGAAACAACATGGTCATGTTATCGCCAACATCAAAAAGAAGATCTTCACCTCAGAAAACTATGAATTCTATACCACCACCATCAACACAAGCAATGACAAATTCCTTACCACCTGTTCCACCACCATCTCAGCCAATCACTAGTCACCAAACACCTGTTATACAGCAAAAACCTCCATCTCCAATAATCACAGGTTAGTATATTTCATTGAGCCTTCTTGCGTTTTCAAAAGAAAAGATACAAATGGTTTGTTTATTTCGGATTAATTTTTGGATGTGGATTTCATTTTATTTTTTTATATGCAGAATCTAACCATGGAATCAGATTTTGGATATTGGACAATTAAGTACAGTCAAAGATATAACTCTATAGGGTTATTAGAGAAAAATAACATACATTTGTTATTGTGGACTAAAAGATCAAAGAACTGTGATAACATATGTATGTTAGATGTTTCAAGGGGCTAATATACATTATTTCTTTTGTTAAAATGTATACAAGTTCTATTGATATTATTATTGTCTTTATGTATACTAAACTATAGAAAGATATAACAGTTCATAGTTTGCCAATCATGCATAGTACACCTATGTTATTACAGAAAAAATATACCTGTAATAACTAAAGGGTGTTATTACTGCTTCTCTACATCACTTCAAAGCCTTTGCTCAGACATACATCATGCTTAATCACAATGTATTTTAATTTATTGTAAGAAATAATGAACAGAGCATATAATGAGGTTCTGTGCAAGATTCCCAGTAATTCCCAAGTGTCTCATATAATAAGTTACATGACTTTAATAACTAAGCCTTGTTATTAAGGCTAAGTTTATCCCTTAAAAGCCTTGTCTCATTGATTTACCATGGTTGATGAAAAATGTATTAATTTAATATGAAAATTAGTTATCAAGGCTATGCATTTAGTTTCTGCGCAAAGTATCAAGAATTCCCAAGTGCCCACTAAAAGTTAAAATATTTATGATGTATTTAACAAATAACAAACATATGTTACTATAGATTTAGAAAATTTAAGGAATAAAGAGTAGAAAACTCATGAAAGTATCTGTAATAACACATGCAAGATATTTTCTCTAATAACCCTATAGAGTTATATCCCTGACTGAAGTAGATTAAATGTTCCATTTCAAAGTTGTAAGTTATCTGACCACATTTATTCTGTGTCAGAAATCTATGATGTGTAAAATATTTAATCACTATCCAAATTCAGAGCTGTATCAAGCTTGAATATTGTGTCCATACTTGCCCCAACTGTTCAGAGTTCGACCTCTCCGGTGTATAAATAGCAGGAAACCAAGTTTATATAAAGAATGACTTTAATATTTTTTCTGTCTATGAAGAAATAACATAAAAAATGTGGTGCACACTGAATAACCCGCATAGCGGGTTATTTAAAAGTGTGCACCACATTTTTTAGGTAATTTGAGTAGACAGAAAAATATTACAGTCTTTCCTTATAATTTAGTTCTAAATTCCATTTTTAAGGAGTAAATTGTAAAAAAAAACGTTGGTGATGTCACGGTCACATGACAAAACTATGTCTATGAGCTGATAGACAAAACACTTTCAGCCAATCAGAAGACGTGTTACATCCAAAATTGAATTATTGTGAAATGTCGAGCATTAGATATTTCATGCATTTTAGGACATAAATAAGTTGAACCTATAAAAAAAACCAAGTAGGGTGAGTATGGTAGGGTTTGTGGATTTGTCATTTTATGAAAACAACAAGATAACTTGCTACTCAAATTAAGATCTACAGAAAAGGTTTCTTGACTACAGAAAGTTGTTAATTTCACAAAATTACCCAATAATATTATTTGATTTTCTGCTAGGCGTAGGATTCAATATAAACTGGCAACCATTAAGAAGAAGAGGACATCTCTTTTTCACCACCTTAAAATGTTCTGGGTAGACCTGTGTGTAAGCCTGTGATTGAGTACTGACACTTGAAAATTGAGATGCACTTGACTATGCTTTATTGCTAATATCCCTCAGTAAACCTTTCAGGCAATATATTAATGAAATTTTAACTAAATAGAACGAACATCTGTAAAAAAAAAAGAAGCCAAAAAGCAAGATACACTTTAGATATGTTGATATTTAGAGATTAAATTTCGTTTACATGACTGTTATATCAAAAATAATATCAATGTAAATGGTGTTCCATTGATAACCTTTACGAAGAAGTTTATTCAAAGGATCAATGACTTTACATGGATGGTTTCTAAATCTATTCAATTTCCAATTATGAAACCACAGATGTTATTTTACCGACATGTTTTTTTCTGCAGTTTAAGTAATTCATAGATACAACCTGTTGTTGTTTTACATTGGTAATTTTAGTAAGAGAAAGGTAGATTGATATGAAGGACATACTTAGAATTTAGAATCTGAACACCTCTATAGAGGTAATTACTATTCTTTATATTGCAGCACCTGCACCTCCAGTTAAACCAGTCACTCACTCACTTCCCCAGCAGCCCAGTCGTCCTTCAGGGCTGGCTACAGCAAAGCCACAGACAAAATTAAATAGTAAGTCATTATGCTATGGTTAAGTGGTAGTATTTGATGATCAATTTAAGAGCTCTCCAACAATATAAATGAAAAGAGACATTGGGTATACGTCAGCAGGCTGATATCCAATTGAAAAACAATAGAAGTGGAACTCTTTATTAGAGAAGGTAAAAAAAAGCCAAGTTGGTATATTTGAATTGTTTACATCTGTTTCTATGGGCTAGAAAAGTTTAATGTAGGTGCATAATTTAGGATTTTATGCATTTTTATACGACCGCAAAAAAATTTTGTGGTCGTATATTGGTATGACGTTGGCGTCGTCGTCGTCGTCGGTATCTTCGGGCGTCGTCGTCGTCCGAAGACGCATTGGTTTTCGCACTCTAACTTTAGTTTAAGTGAATGGATCTTTTTGAAATTTGACCATAAGGTTAAATACCACAAAAGCAAGGTTGGGATTGATTTTGGGGGTTATGGTACCAACAGTTAAGGAATTAGGGGCCAAAAATAAGCATTTTCTAGTTTCCAGACAATAACTGTGGAACGGTGTATGGATCTCTCTGAAATTATACTACAAGTTTCCATACCACAAAGGGATGGTTAGGATTTGCTTTGGGGGGTTATGGTTCAAACCGTTTAGGAATTAGGGGCAAAAAAGGGGGGAAAACAAGGTTGTCCTCGTTAATGGACAAATACTTTAGTACAAAACATAATTTAAAGCAGTGTAAGGGAGATAAATCAAATACATCATTGAAATTATCTCCCTTACACTGCTTTTAAATTATGTATAAAGTAATGGTTAATGAACAATAAAGATAATTTAAAACAGTGTAAGGGAGGTAATCCAAATACAACGTTTTGGTTACTTCCCTTACACTGTTTTAAATTATGTTTAAAGAAATGCATATTTATAAAGGAAGACCAGTAAAAATATCTGCAAATGTTGCATCTTTTTTTTTTACCAAAAAATCCATATGAAAGATTTGACACTATATTTTTAATTCTATTATAAAAAAGATTAAGTTAGCACTATGGTAAATTTAAATAGGTAATTATGGTTGCCAACTCCATTGGAAATTTGAATTGAGATTATGACCATATCTTGAGGGAAAGAATTTTTTGGGGGAAAAAAAGGGGGGGGGGGGGATAAAAAGAAATTGTGGGAGGTCAATTTTTTCTCATTTCAGATTTCAGAAATTAAAAAGAATTATTCTTCAAATATTATTTTTTTTTCAAATTTCAAATATTGAAAAATTTTAAGAAGTTATCTTTAATTGCACAGTATGGTGCATTAAATTTGTAAAATCTTTGATCACATTTATTTATTTGTTATGCCGAATCTAACAGTGTATTTAGATTTTTAATTTTGGGTCCAGTTTTCAAATTGGTCTACATTAAGGTCCAAAGGGTCCAAAATTAAACTTTGTTTGATTTTAGCAAAAATTGAATACATGAGGTTCTTTGATATGCTGAATCTAAACATGTATTTAGATTTTTGACTTTTGGCCCAGTTTTCAAGGTGGTCCAAATTGGGGTCCAAAATTAAACTTTGTTTGATTTCAACAAAAATTGAATATATGGGGTTCTTTGATATGCTGAATCTAACCATGTATTTAGATTTTTTATTTGTGGACCCCGTTATCAAATTGGTTCATATTAAGGTCAAAAGGGTCCAAAATTAAACTTTGTTTGATTTCATCTAAAATTGAATTATTGGGGTTCTTTGATATTCCAAATCTAACCGTGTATTTAGATTTTTAATTTTGGGTCCTGTTTTTTAAATTGGTCTACATTAAGGTCCAAAGGGTCCAAAATTAAACTTAGTTTGATTTTAAAAAAAATTGAATTCTTGGGGTTCTTTGATATGCTGAATCTAAACATGTGTTTAGATTTTTGATTATGGGCCCAGTTTTCAAGTTGGTCCAAGATAGGGTCCAGTATTTAAACTTTGTTTGATTTCAACAAAAATTGAATATATGGGGTTCTTTGATATGCTGAATCTAAACATGTTTTTAGATTTTTGATTATGGGCCCAGTTTTCAAATTGGTCCAAATTGGGGTCCAAAATTAAACTTTTTTTTTTTGTTTGATTTCAACAAAAATTGAATATATGAGGTTCTTTGATATGCTGAATCTAACCATGTATTTAGATTTTTTATTTGTGGGGCCCCGCTATCAAATTGGTTCATATTGAGGTCAAAAGGGTCCAAAATTAAACTTTGTTTGATTTCATCAAAAATTGAATTATTGGGGTTCTTTAATATGCCAAATCTAACAGTGTTTATAGATTTTTAATTTGGGTCCCGATTTTTAAATTGGTCTTCATTGAGGTCCAAAGGGTCCAAAATTAAACTTAGTTTGATTTTAACAAAAATTGAATTCTTGGGGTTCTTTGATATGCTGAATCTAAACATGTGTTTAGATTTTTGATTTTGGGCCCAGTTTTCAAGTTGGTCCAAGTTGGGGTCCAAAATTAAACTTTTTTTGATTTCAACAAAAATTGAATATATGGGGTTCTTTGATATGCTGAATCTAACCATGTATTTAGATTTTTTATTTGTGGGCCCCGCTATCAAATTGGTTCATATTGAGGTCAAAAGGGTCCAAAATTAAACTTTGTTTGATTTCATCAAAAATTGAATTATTGGGGTTCTTTGATATTCCAAATCTAACCGTGTATTTAGATTTTTAATTTTAAGTCCCGTTTTTTAAATTGGTCTACATTAAGGTCCAAAGGGTCCAAAATTAAACTTAGTTTTATTTTAGCAAAAATTGAATTCTTGGGGTTCTTTGATATGCTGAATCTAAACATGTGTTTAGATTTTTGATTATGGGCCCAGTTTTCAAGTTTGTCCAAGTTGGGGTCCAAAATTAAACTTTGTTTGATTTTAACAAAAATGGAATATATGGGGTTCTTTGATATGCTGAATCTAACCATGTATTTTGATTTTGGACATTGGACCATAATAGGTAAATTAAAAAAATTCAAGTTCTTAGACCACATTCTTTCTGTGTCAGAAACCTATGATGTGTCAAATATTTAATAACAATCCAAATTCAGAGTTGTATCAAGCTTGAATGTTGTGTCCATACTTGCCCCAACTGTTCAGGGTTCGACCTCTGCGGTCGTATCAAGCTGCGCCCCAGCGAAGCATTTTATATACACATGTTTTTATATGAATTATAGTATGGAGCTTCAAGATATTTGTACACTTTTAAATTAAAGACAAATTTCCACAAAACAGTTGATTGTGGTTGGTGGAAATACATGTGGATCTTTTTTGTGCATAAGCATAAATTCAGCCGAAATTTTTTTACACAAAGATAAAAGATTGATCTTTTTAAAGCATTAATTTGCATCTCTGCCCCCGGCGACAGTTTTTTTTGGAAAAAATGGGCAATAATTTTATCAAAAAGAGAAAGTTGAGTACACTTTTTTATGTTCAGGTGTGTTTAAGTTGACTATTTTGTCTTGAAAAAGTATAAAGCGAACATATTTGATACATCGCCTCTTCAGATTCCATTATTTTTGTCGAGCCTAAAAGTCACAGAAAGCTAGACATAGGGATAGTGATCCGGCGAGCGGTGGCGTTGGCTAACTTCTTAAAAGCTTTATATTTTAGAAGGTGGAAGATCTGGATGCTTCATACTTTGTATATGGATGCCTCATGTTACGAAGTTTCCGTCAGTCACATGTCCAATGCCCTTGACCTCATTTTAATGGTTCAGTGACTACTTGAAAAAAAAGTTAAGATTTTTGTAATGTTAAATTCTCTCTTATTATAAGTAATAGGATAACTATATTTGGTATGTGCGTACCTTGCAAGGTCCTCATGCCCATTAGACAGTTTTCACTTGACCTCGACCTCATTTCATGGATCAGTGAACAAGGTTAAATTTTGATGGTCAAGTCCATATCTCAGATACTATAAGCAATAGGTCTTGTATATTCGGTGTATGGAAGGGTTGTAAGGTGTACATGTCCAACTGGTGGGTGTCATCTGACCTTGACCTCATTTTCATGGTTCAGTGGTTATAGTTAAGTTTTTGTGTTTTGGTCTGTTTTTTTTAAACTATAAGCAATAGGTCAACTATATTTGTTGTATGGAAGAATTGTTAGCTGTACATGCCTGCCTAGCATGGTTCATCTGACCTTGACCTCATTTCCATGGTTCATTGGTCAATGTTTAGTTTACTTGGTTAATGTTAAGTTTATGTGACAGTTGTAATAAAGTTTGTATTTAGGACTATCAACATAATATCAATGATTAGTAAAGAAGGCGAGACATTTCAGCATGTGCACTCTTGTTTATTTATTTAGGCTACAGGTTAATGTTGTTTTGTTGTGTTTATTCTCTAGGGTAATTAATCTTTAGCCTTTGAAAATTTTTAGTCTGCCCTTCCAGAAAATATTTAATTAGATTTTTTTTAGTGTTATTGAACTTGCGAAAAATTGCTCCTGACAACCAATCAGACTAGTGTTAAGTTGACAAGAGGCCTAAAAGTACATTAAGGATGTACTTAGGTGAAATTAATAAAATCTAGAAATCAAAATTGATACTATAAGTTGGAAGAGCATTAGTTGAGGAACAAAATAAGCTAAAAATATTGTTTTATGGAGCTCCTTTTCAAAATATTTGATTTAAAAAAAAAATGGCGGGAAAAGGCTGACTCAGACTTTTATCTTATATTTGCATTGGTATTATTTGGGTCTGAATCAAGAATCTGCTTAAACTTGGGTAAATGACCTTTTATGAGCTATTAAAGTCTTATATGAAAAGAAAAATGGGTGTTATGGGCAAGGGTCCGGAAACGGTCATATATGCCAGACATGACCGATTTGGAAACTGAAAAGACCGAAATGATTTATTGGGATTTAGGTCTTTTTTTTTTTTATACAGAAATAATTTCGGTCATTTCATTGAGATCAGGGTTTTATCGGTCGCCATTTTGAACTTATTTTTGTTTTCAGGTCATCAAGAAAAATAGATTTGTTTGAGACAAAATAAAAATTTTATTGATCTGTGTTAGTGATTTAATAATATTTATCATTAGTCTGTTGTTTATTCTATAATGTAAGTAAAAACAATGTACAGGACTCTGTCGAGTCACAGCGTGGGGTAAGTCTGGGTTCAAGCCACTAGGTTTGTTTACATAGTAAGGATAGTAATCAATGTCCAGGAAGTTTGAATTCGGCTTGGGTGTCGTTATTGTCTTGATTAAAGCCATAAAGGCCATGTACACAAATCTCACCTGTAAACACCTGTTAAGCAATAAAAACAATATGGCGATTTGCTGTGCATCAAATTTAACGTTTTAACCATTCTGACCTAGATTTTCCCAAACAGATATTATTTTATTCATTAAAGAAGACAAATAACACTGTTGACCCGAGAATCTGTCTATTTTTATCCAAATAAAACATATAATCCATTTATAATCGATCAGCTGATTTGGTCAACGTTTGTTAAATATAGATTTATGTTTACTGAGTTTGCGCATGGAAAATGGGGATCAACATGGGTTAATTGATAATCTTATTTGAAAGATCGATTTTACTGTTAACCTCTTCGGTAGGAAATGGCAGATAAAGATATTAATAGATTTGCAAAAGTGGTAAAGCGTATAATTTATAGGAATGCAGAATTAAAAAAAAATGTTTAAAAAAGGAATTAAAACTAAATAACGTAATTTAGATTTGAAGCCATACAGCCTATTTAAGAAATATACTCAGCGAATGAACAATCTCGATTTTTTTTTGTTTTTTTGCACTTCCGATTTTTTGAAACCATCTTACTCACAGAATGTAATGGGCGTTATCCTTTCTTTTGTTTTCCTGGCTAAACTTCTGATTTTTGCCCAAGTGAAGCCATACATTCTCTCTGTAAAGACCAACAGAATTCATGGTTTCCCCTTTTTGATCCTCATATCGTAAACCAGGTGAATACACATTATCTTGTTGTGTATTAGGTAATCACTTACACTCATCCAAACAGCAGCAATTTGAACAATACAAACGATATCTTGTACATGCAATAAGAAGCTCAACACAGTTTATTAATTGGTTTACATAACTTTATTTCAAAATGATGAAACATGCCGTATTTTATTCCTCTTTTAATTTATGCAAATTTAAAGGGTTATGCATACGACCTCAGTGATGCAATACACAACAACAAAACGTCTCCTCGTGTAGTTTCTAACTCAGAGACATCACTGTTACTGTAAGATCAAGGTACAGTTACACTTGTTTGACCCAATACTTCACAAAAAAGGACTTTACTTGTCCATGTGCAAGACTTGTCACCCTTAGAAAAATGCATTATTGTGCATCACGATATTATTACATCACAAAAAAAAAATGACCGAAATGACTTGGGAAAATTTCCGGATCCTTGGTTATGGGGCAAATATTTTACCCTGTATTGAAGGAAAAAAACCAAGGAGTCCGAACATTTGACACAAATTCCTAAACCTCACCTAAGTACATCCTTAAATGATGCTTAATGGCTAGTAGATTCATTTGTCTTTTAGAATACAACTGTCACATAAGGATCGTAATGATGCTATTTTATGGAAAAAATCAGTTTTCAAGAGCTAAATTGGCAGTGCCTCATCCCTACAATGGCCTCCATTTTTATGATTGAAAAAATTAGGTGGCGTAATGGGGAGATCATTTTGATAAAGTAGAATCCTGACTGTCAGATAGCTTGCCAAGTTAATTTAAAAATTTGTCTTATCATTTAGAAAGACATTTCCAGACAAAGATATATATATAGGCCTATTTTCTGACTGGATATAACAAACACAGAGATTTTATGGCTCAAATTATACTACCAGTGTGTTAACTTTAATTGCAAAGCATGATAAAATTTCCTAAAACTTTGGCAAGAGAACTATACATATTTTTGTTGGCATGCTATTGAAGGAAGTCCTCATATTAAAATAAGGAAATGTGGTATGATTGCCAATGAAACATCTTTCCACTAGAGTTCAAATGACAAAGAAAAAGCAATTAAAGGTCACTGTACGGCATCATCAGGGAGAAAAGCCCATACCGTATAGTCCTCTATAAATGGCCCCAACATGAAAAATGTGAACTAATTTAAACAAGAAAACGAACTGCCTACTTTATAACAATACAATTTAAGAAAAAGGAACATGATCTCTTTGAATTCATATGTAAGATTTGAAAGTTTATTTCATATTTTTGTTTTGGTGTCAAGGTTGCTTGAAATCATATGTAATAATTAAATACTACAGTTAACAGGTTTTATGAAGAGTATATTTTGTTTTAGTTCCTTCAGTACCTACTAGCAACACTATGAATATCTCTCCCAGTTTATCACCTCCACAAATGCTAGTGGAGAAGAGAGTTCCAGATTTTCATCCATTGTCACCAACCAAGTCCCACGAAGATTCAGCTGACAATTTACTGGATTTTTACCTTGGAGAAGATAATAGTAGCAGTAGTCCTAAACCTAGTCCACCTAAAACAGCACCTCCTGCTCCACCTGGTGCTACTATATGTATGTATATTTAATAACTAATGTTCATTTAATATTGTTTATTTAAAGAATTATAAGGATTAAACGCCTTTTTAAAGGAATTTATTGATGTATAAACTGGACCAAGTCACTCACAAACATATCATAAAAGTCCTTCTGACTTTTATTTGTTTTTGAGTGAATTGGTCGAGTTTATACACCAATAAATTCCTTTAAAAAGGCGTTTAATCCTTATAATTCTTTAAATTTGAGATAGGGAATTTATTTTTACACACTTGTAACCTCTATCACACGTAAATTGTGTATTTGTGTCATTGAATAGGCCTGGCGCATGAATATATTTGTTGGTTAACGCAAAAATATGTACTCCATGAAATTTGCAATCTGATAAAAAATAAACTACAAAAACTCTTATTATCATTTAAACGAATGTTTTGTGTTTATTATTTAATTTAACGATTAACGCGAAGTGAAAATAAAATTTGTTAACGTCGATCCGGATTGTGTCATTATCGGCGCCATCTTGTTTATATTGGTTACGAAAAGAAGTTCGGTCAAAGTCGGTTATCGAAAAATAAACAACATCAAGAACAATTACCGGAAGTCCTCTCAATCAATCATATCAACGTATTCCCTAATATGCAAATCATATAAGAATTATTCATTATTATTCATTGGCCATTGATAATTGGAGGTGTACCTGAACCTCAATTTTAGATGTTCAATGAAATAAAAATTTCAAATTAAATTGAATAAATTTTTTTTTTGATAAATTGCTAAATCCATGAAAATTTGTATCCACTAAAAAAATGAATCAACAGTACATACCTACATAGAATTAAACTTTTGTTAATATCCGACGGGTGATCAAATAACCCGGGAATTCAGAAAATGACCCGTTTTCACCCATATTTCTGACTGGTATTGTTTCCGGTATTTAGAATTGAAATATTCATTCGCTTTTATCGGCTTTTTTCCTTTGAAAAGGAAAACAATTGAAAGGTCAAAACTTAGGATTTTCTTATTTACCTTTCTCTTAATTGGATCAATACAGCTAACAAAACATATTTTGACACTCCTTTGAATGAAAAGTAACAATATGCTTATTATCTCATCAATTGTACCCCAGAAAGTTAAAGCCAGTCAAGCTTGACATACAATTCTATGTCCTGATTATAGATTTGCTGTTGGCAAATATCAATTATCCTATAAAAATCCTTTTAAAACAATTTGAACCTCTTAAAACATTTCTGTTGGAGAGATACAAGTCCGTTATAAACTATTTTAAACCATTCAATTTAGTTATCACTTAAATGTAAAAGCTTGGAGTCAAAATCCATATGCTCTAGATATTGCACTGGAAGTAAACACACATCTTTCTCTTATCTTCCTCCTGTGTAAAGGAGCACATTAGCCATAACTGATTTCTACTTATAGCTGAGGTTTATAAATTCATTTACATGTATAAAAAGTAATCTGAATAAAACAATTAGAGGGCATTGCTTTAGAAAGATATTTAATTAACGATAAATATTTATATAATTAACAAATACAATAGTGAATATTTGTAGGAAACTGGTATGTGTTAGAGTATATATTATTAAAAAGAAAACCTCTAAATACTAAAATTCAACCAAAAAAAGTTTGTATGCGTTATGACCTGACATTTTTTTCCTCAATGCAGGTTATGACCTGCATTTTCATTTTCAGAGGTTGACAGTTATGGTAATGTCCCTCAGATAAGAACCAACAAAGAGTAAAATGTACATAATTGAGTTCCCAGTTAGTTGATATTAGTCAATACTTGAATATTGCTCTGTAAAACCAACAAGTACTAGATTAGTAATTTTTCAACGAGTTGACAACCCTAGTTTCTAGTCTTATTTGTAATGTATTACAGCTGCTAGTGGAGTTGGAGTAAGATTTGGATCAAGTTCCAGTAATCCTAATTTATCGACCAGTGCTCCTGGCTTATCTACACCTGGTGGTGGAGGAACAAACTCTATACGACCAATGCAGGCAGATAAAACTCCTGTTTCTCAGGTTAAAAAGGTATGGCATTTTCTTATTAATCATTCATTGAAACACACTTAATACACACACACACATATATATATATAGAATTGTACGTCTAAACAAGTGACAACTCTACGACAGATCCATCCATTGGATCACCAATGAAGGTGATACACGGCTGAATACACATATTATATTCATAATTACTCTAAATATCAGCACAACAATGTTAAATCTGCAAATTTGGGGAAGCAAATTTTTGTTCTTCCCTCGCCGGGATTCGAACTCATGCAATTGGGATATCGAGACGTCACTGCCTGCACTGTGTGCAGCGATATTTAGAGTAATTATGAATATAATATGTGTTTTCAGCCGTGTATCACCTGTCGTAGAGTTGTCACTTGTTTAGACGTACTTATCAAATAATTATTTCTGTGACTGCATCTTACGATCCTTTACTATAGATAATTTAACTAATCTGCAATCAATTCCATCTTCATGCCTAATATATCATGTACTGTGTTACAACTCTAGATTCTAGATTCAGTCTAGGTGGCCGAGTGGTCTAGAACGCTGGACACATTGTTGTGCTGATATTTAGAGTAATTATATATATATAGAATAACTATACATTGACTCAAAATATTTTTTTCTGTACAAGGCTTAAAAAAAACGGGTAGATTGAGAGGATATGCCAAGACAATGTAATGTTTGTTCTTTTTATATTATAACTCATAATAGATCTGCCAAAAGATTTTGAGTAAAAATCAACAATTGTGAATTTTCTTATTTGAAGTGGATGGCATAAAATATCTGTTAACCTGCATACTGTCATAACGTGAAAGATAAATTTGTATTGAAACACATTACCAATGTCACACACAAGGATTTAATCAGTGACTGTATAAAGCCAACATTTATACTGTCAATGCATTTTGACTGACCAAATAGTACAGTAGTATAGATGTTGATATTTCCCATTGTTGTTAAGTTTTTTCTGCCTTAGAATAATGTTGGAGTATAGAAACTAATTTCTTTTAGATGAAATTTTGTTTTTGCTTTAGAAATTATCTCATTAAGGTGGTGTCTCCTTTTTATACGACTGCAAAAAAATTTTGCGGTCGTATATTGGTATGACGTTGGCGTCGGCGTCTTTGTCCGAAGACACATTGGTTTTCGCACAATAACTTTAGTTTAAGTTAATGGATCTCTATGAAATTTTACCATAAGGTTCAATACCACAAAAGGAAGGTTGGGATTGATTTTTAGGGGTTATAGTACCAACAGTTAAGGAATTAGGGGCCAAAAATAAGCATTTTTGTAACTTCCAGACAATAACTTGTGTTTAAGTGTATGGATCTCTCTGAAATTATACCACAAGTTTCCATACCACAAAGGGATGGTTAGGATTGGCTTTGGGGGGTTATGGCTCAAACTGTTTAGGAATTTGGGGCAAAAAAGGGGGAAAACAAGGGTTTTTCGTTTAATGGACAATTTAAAAGCAGTGTAAGGGAGGTAATCCAAAAACAAAATTGTACAATGTTGGATTACCTCCCTTACACTGCTTTTAAATTATCTATTTAAGACTATTATGATGTATTTAAATTGGTAATTATGGTTGCAAACTCCATTGGAAATTTGAAATGAGATTATGACCATATCTTGAGGGAAACAATCAAAGGGTCAATACGCAACAGCACAGTGTATTTCACAAAAGCAAAAAAAGGGGAGGTAAATTTTTTTTTTTTTTTTGTTGGGGGGAGGGTCAATTCGCAACAGCATAGTGTATTGCACAAAAGCAAAAAATTGAATATCAATTCAAATCATATAACCAATTCTAAGTTCTTTGACTACAGTTATTCTGTGTCAGAAACCTATTATGTGTCAAATATTTAATATAAATAATAACAATCCAAATTCAGACCTGTATCAAGCGCGAATATTGTGTCCATTTTCGCCCCAACTGTTCAGGGTTGGACCTCTGTGGTCGTATCCAGCTGCACTCAGCGAAGCATTTTATTTCAAAAGCAACAATAAAGTTTTGTTCTATCAAGCTATATTTTTTGCTGGTTTTGAATTGATTGAATTGAATACAGGGTTCTCACTAAGGCAAGTCAATGGGTCCTGGACTCATGAGAATCTCTCCAGACTCATTTTCACTGGTGAGACCAAAGATGCATCAAGATTGTAAAATATTGTGTCAACTGACCACATATATCATCATTTAATAACAAAAGTTTTAAAATAATCTAAATTTGATGTCATTTTCTTGCTCTATTTTGTCATGGGTACCGAAACAATAAATTATATACCAATAAAATTCCATCTTCTCACTGTTGGACTTGCCATAGCCAAAAATGATGAGTCCCTGGACTCGTCTTCAAAAATGCTTATTAAGAACCCTGGAATACAAACTCCCTACAGATGTTTTGCTTTTACAGTATTATTCAGTGATGCTATCTTAGCATACGTGTAGGATACTGACAGATGACTTATTTTTCAATTTTAGGATACATTTAAGGTAAAGAATGCTGGTTCTTGGTCTAGCTTAGCAAACATGTCAACTCCTTCATCTCTCAAGAAGGGACCCAGTGCAATGCAAAGCTTTGAACAGTTTAAAAAAGCAGCTAAACAGAAGGAAGAGAGGGTAAGAAACATTTCTCAAAAGATTCTTTCAAGGGATACTATTCTGAAAAATGCTGATGCATCATGGAATGGGGGTGAGTCATATATCAAAGTCAGGTCAGTCTGACCTTGAATTTGATCTTTGAACCCTATGATAGTAAAACAGTTTCTGATTTGTGCATAACTTTAATACTGTAGCACTTAGATTAACAGCACTTTGTATGCAGATGAACCATACTGACCTTGACTTTGACCCTTATTTTTACATTATACAAACCTCAGACTTTGTTCTTAGGTCAGTTTGATTCTTTCAGATTGACCTATCAGAAACCGTGTGTCAGTCTATCACAGAGGCAATGATTATATAAAATGAATAAACCAGAGATCTCAATACTGAATTCACAGCAGCAACTTAAATGCATATATGTGGTGTATTAGTCCCGCTGTGCGAACAGCTCTAGTTTATATACCATATATCAAGTATTTTTTGGGTGTGTCTAATTTCCCCCTGTTTTTTGGTAGACATTTTACACTACACGAACATTTGACTTCATTTAAATGCATAAAACATGAATAAGGAACACAGCAAATATATAAATGCCCTTCTAAGGCCAAAACCGTGAATAAACAGGACGCAAGAATAACCATGCACTGTAAATTCACTAATTATTGCGAGGGTTTTATTAATGCGAATAATGCGATTAGATGAGTATCATAATGATAAGAACTCGCATTGTGATAGTTGATACATATAAATGAATGCAGATTTTTCTAAAATCGCAATAATTAATTTTGCATTGTGTTGTCCATTCTTCACAAATCGCAATAATAAATGCACGCAATAATTTCTGAATTTACTGTATTCAATTACATATTTTTGTCATGTTAGTTTTTGAGATAAGTTAGGAAGAGTATTAAGTGCTTTATATTTTGTAAAACTTCAACTTCGAAATTGATTTTCTCTCATAATCTAGGACAAAATGATGAAGGAACAAGAAGAAAAGAGGAAATTTAATAAAGAAATGGAAGAAAGAAATAGACAGAGATCAGAAATGGAGAGACTTAGGTTTGTTTATTGAGATAAAAAATGAAAATATTTTGAAACCTTGTTTTTTTTATAGATATAATGTTTTTTAAAAAATAATGGCTTACGATATTAATTTTACAAGCATTGAAGTATTATTTTTTTAGGAAAAAACATGGAACATTTCTTCCAAAAATGGAAAAAAAGTATATTAAAATATACTTGGCATTTATGAGTCATTAAGAGTATTTTATTGTAATTCTTTTTGCAGAGAACGTGAAGAAGAGGAAGCGTTAGATGCTGCAAGAAGATCAACACATGATGAGTCTGCTCGTCAAAGAGAGGCTGACAAAAAAGCAAAAGAAATAGAACGTAGAAAGGAACAGGAGAGAAGACGACGTGAAGCTGTTTGTTTAATTTCTATATTTATTACAATTGTTGACTTAGGCATTAAATGTGTCTTTGTAAGAAAAAGGATAAAAGCTATCTAGTTCTATTTTAGACTCTTATTATTACAATTTAACTTCATTGATATTTTTTGTGCAGTTGCAAAGTTTAATCCACTTATGTTTATTACATATACTGTTCCTGTTCATGCATTATTGATTTTGACAGCAATCAAAGTTGGATGAATCTTATAAATTTTCTCACCACAACATAACCTATGTGTGCAGATGCGGATTTTAACTGCTATCAGTCAATCAATTTACATTTAAAGTTACAACATTTATTAGATTTGAAAGTTATGTTGTTTTTATGCCCCACCTAGGGGCATTATGTTTTTCGGTCTGTGTGTCTGTTTGTCCATCCGTCTGTCCTGCTTCAGGTTAAAGTTTTTGGTCAAGGTAGTTTTTGATGAAGTTGAAGTCCAATCAACTTGAAACTAAGTACATATGTTCCATATGATATGATCTTTCTAATTTTAATGCCAAATTAGAGTTTTGACCCTAATTTCACGGTCCACTGAACATAGAAAATGATAGTGTGAGTGGGGCATCCGTGTATTATGGACACATTCTTGTTGTATATTTAAAAGTTCTGGTAAAACAGATATTTTATAGTTGTCATTTGGACTGTGGTGGATAGTTCTCTCATTGGCACATCTTCTATTTTTGTCTTGCTTGCAACGAAAGTCACAGAATGCGAGACATAGGATACCAGCGCTGGAGACGGTGTAATATATTTGTATAAATAAAGCTTTCTCTTTCAGAAGGTAGAAGTCCTGGATGCTTTAAACCTTGTATGCAGATGCCTTATGTTACAAAGTTTCTGTCTGTCATATTGTGCTTGACCTGGTTAAAAAATATGTATACTTTTTTGTCATGTGCATTTCCCACTTGCTATTAGTAATAGGATAACTATGTTTGGTATATGGGATCCTTGCAAGGTCTTCATGTCTGTCAGACAGGGTTCACTTGACCTTGACCTCATTCCATTGATGAGTGATCAAGGTTAAGTTTTCGCGATGGTCTCAGATACTATAAACAATAGGTCAACTATATTTGTCGTATAGAATGATAATAAGGTGTACATGTCAGACTGGCAGGTTTTTCATCTGATCTTGACCTCATTTTCATGGTTCTTTGGTCAATTTTAAGTTTTCATGGTTTTGTGACTTTTGTCCATTTATCAGATACTATAAGCAATAGGTCAACTATATTTGGTGTATGGAATGATTGTAAGGTGAACATGTCTGTCTGACTGGGTTCAACTGACCTTGACATCATTTTCATGGTTCATAAGTCAATGTCAAGTTTTCATGGTTAAGTCTGTTTCTCAGATACTTGGAAAGCAACAGGGCAACTATATTTGGTGAATGGAATGATTGTAAGGTGAACATATCTGTCTGACTGGGTTCAACTGACCTTGACATCATTTTCATGGTTCATAAGTCAATGTCAAGTTTTCATGGTTAAGTCTGTTTCTCAGATACTTGGAAAGCAACAGGGCAACTATATTTGGTGAATGGAATGATTGTAAGGTGAACATATCTGTCTGACTGGGTTCAACTGACCTTGACATCATTTTCATGGTTCATAAGTCAATGTCAAGTTTTCATGGTTAAGTCTGTTTCTCAGATACTTGGAAAGCAACAGGGCAACTATATTTGGTGTATGGAATGATTGTAAGGTGAACATATCTGTCTGACTGGGTTCAACTGACCTTGACATCATTTTCATGGTTCATAAGTCAATGTCAAGTTTTCATGGTTAAGTCTGTTTCTCGGATACTTGGAAAGCAACAGGGCAACAATATTTGGTGTATTTAATGATTGCATGATGTTGTCTGGCAGGGTTCATCTGAACTTGAACTCATTTTCATAGATCATTTATAATGTTGTTTATTTGATACTTGTAGTAAAACCTTCACATTACAGACTTTCAACATAAATTCAATCATGAAAATTAAAATGGGTGAGGCATTTTAACCTGTGTACTCTTGTTATATATACTTTTATTATCAGAGAGTATTTTGTAAATCAAATTTTTCTATCTTTCAGATGGCGAATAGAATAGATATGAATGCTCAGAGTGATTTGATGGCCTCATTTGAAGAAATGATGTGAATTATTCTGTGTTTTATACAAGATTCATCATAGACAGGCAAGCCAGAACACAGGTCACATAAACATTCCTCAATGGCTATGATTTGTCCATTCCATATAATTATTTATGAAGTGTAAGGATTTTAAAGTGCATAACTATATATCAAAATGGAATGTTCATCAGAGGTTCAAAGGCTTACTAATATCAATGTCAGTGTTACTGGTTAAACTTACTATTGCAACAACAAGCTTGACAGCATGAAATGTAATGGAATAATGAGATGTTAATTGAAAGGAAAGTGATTGGGTTATATATTAGCATCATTTAAATACAGGAAGATAATTAGATTTTTTTGGTTCCTTTTTAAGGGGGTGATCCTGTAGTTTTATATAACATTAATAACTTTACAAATTCAGTAAGTAGTCCTGATCTCAATATATGAAACTAAAATGTTAATTATATTTAGTGAGTATTGATCAATGGTAATTAATTGGCTGTGCCTTTTTTTTTAAATAACATATTTAAAGTGTTCATTGGTAGCAGAAAAAAACATGTACATTCACAAACAGTGCAGGATAAAGACTTATTCTTTGCAATAATGTGCTTCTTTTGTAATTATAAGGTTTTCTTTCTTCAATAATTAAGCTAAAGAGATTATTAAAATTAAAAATTGGAAATTACGAGTTTTTCTTTTGAAAGTTTTTTTTTCCAGGAATTAAACTAAGAGAGTAAATTATATAAAGTAAAAAATAAACACTGTTTTGAAATGAAGGAAGATGTCTTCAAGAAAATAAAGATAATTAGAAGACACCAAAAACATTTAGATATTTCCATTTTGATTAATTGATAAAGAAATTAGATTTGTTTCATTATCTTGATGAATATCTTCTTAACTCTGCTGAAAATTTTAAAATGTCAATATTTTTTTATACAGCAACTCAAATATTCAGATAACTTTTTGAAGTGCTCTTCAAAGAAAGCTGATCTCTGAAAAGCTGTTGTTGGTTATTCTTGAGTGTTTAGTTGTTATGTTTATAAATATATATCTCTGTTGTTCAAAGTATATGTAAAGAATGTAATTATATTTCTATTTTCAGTAGAAATATTTAAGATGTTAAAGAAATTGTAGTGAATAGATGACATGGAAGCCATTTATTAATTATATGCACTTAGTATGTTCAAATAGGAGAGATTTCTCCTCTAACATAATTTGAAGGTGTTAATTATGAACCAGAAATTAAGAACAATTACATACTTTTCATGAATTGTTTATTTTTATGGATATCCTTTTGAACCGACAATAACAAACATTGGACTTTTTAGGCTGTAAAGAGTATTTGTATTATTATTTAAATAAATGGTTGTACTTGAAAATTGCGATTCCATTTTCCATTGGATTTAAACTGTTTTTTTTTTTTTACTTTTTTACTTTGTATGAAACATAATAAATAGATTTTCGTATATAATTCATTTTGGTATGCAAGATATGAATTGGAAACCACAGTGGATAACATAACCATGCAGATAGAGATGGTGCTTTACCTCCTAAAAATCGGTAATGTTGGTGTGAAATTGTACATAGAGAATTCCATCATTGGAATAGGTATATGTTATTAAAACACTAATTTATTACAATATTGAATGTAGATAGTTGTGCATAATATTTTGTTGGGAAGAGTGTCTAGTTGATGGCAGGAAATTCTGTGCATATGATATTGTTGTGTCTTAAAATGAATTGCTATAAGTTAATGTGTGTAAATATGTACATTACATTTAATCTACTTGTATGGATTTAGTATAAATAATGTTTGTCTTGAATGTGTTTGTGAAATGTGAACTCAGAAAAAAGGCATAAAATATATCAAAAAACTGAAAACAGACATTATTTATCAGTGTTTTTTTTTTGAAGAGTAATAAATTGTTGAGTTTGTAATTATTTTGCATGTTGAGTTTGAAATCATAGATGTTTTTCCCGTAATCAGTGTTTTAATTTTAGTGTTGTGAGGAATGACAAATCTTGTACAGACATATACATGGTGCAATTTTGCTATCTAAAAGGCAATTTGAATGAAAATTTTGGGCAATTTTTCTGCCTGTTTTACCAGTTACCGTAATGGGAAATGATGTCAACTATACATTTCATCAATAACCATTTCTCCCTATCTTGATCAATCCCATATCTTGAATGAAGATTATTTTAATTTGTTTAAGTTCTGAATTGGAAAAAGAAGTACCATAAAAAAATCATTGATTAAAGAAAGAAAAATTGACTTGATAAATTGTAAAAGCTAAAATATTTAAGAATCAAATGTGTAGAAGCCAGCCAGACATATTCTAGATCTTCTATCCACATATATTTCTTAAGGATCAGGGCTTCCAGAAATAATTTGAGCCAGCAAGTCTTTTATTTTACCTAATTTTTAGTCTCTTTAGACATTGAAACTAGAGGTTTCCAAGTCATTAATCTGGTGACAATAATTAAAAATGATAACTTCCTACTTCCTATTCAGTGAACTGACAGTAGCATGTAAATTGATGTGCATCGTATTAAGTGTGAAACACCTGCCAAATTAAGTTTGCTCTGTACTATTTATTAATGCAATATCACTATAATAAAGAAACTCTGTTTTGTTAAAAAGCACATATTTTCTAATACTGCACATTGACTTGACAGCGACTAAACTCCAAACAAATATTGAATATGTAAAATCTAGGTAGATTTTTGTACATCCTTTGGACATAATAGTTTGAGTCTTCAATAAAGCTCACTGCCATAAAACTAAAGGTACTAATAGTGTAGACAACAAACTAAATGGTCTTGATTGAGGATATTGGTTTTAGATATGCATGTATTCCATTGTAAATAAATTTGATGCAACAGGGTGCTAAGATTAGTGGTGATGAATGAATGCATGTTCATGGTTCAAAACATTCATTTAAACACAACACCAAAGCTGTATGAATTACTTGTTCATTTTTTATATTGTTTTGTTTATTATTGTTCTCATTTATTTCGTGTTTGTTAAGTAAAGGTATAGTAATAAAGATTTGTAACAGTTGTTTGAAAGTAGTTCATTTGTCAGGTATACTGTGTATGCCAATATAGCATGGTTGATAATACCATTGGTGGAATTTGACAGTGTAAACATTGATTTTTAAGGCACAATTAAAGCCACAACTATTAAAAAAAAAAAAAGATTATTTTATGTTAATAAGTGTTCTTGAGAGTGTTCAGTTCAATTCAGATAGGAGCTGTTTTATAAGGGGATGGGTTGAGGATCAACAACACTTTTTTTACTGTATACCCCCACCATCCATAATATTTTTTATTTTCATTTGCTACAGAACTGTACCTGCATCCACCCCTATAACCCACTGAAAAAAATAGGTGGTGTCCAACCCTCCCATACATTTTACTGGAAAAGCCCTAACTAACATTTGTCGAAACTAAATAAATTTTGCTTGTGTGTAGTTCATGTAAAACTAGTGAAAAATCTCTAAATAAAGCTGAGAAAACTTTAAATTTAGCTGCTAATTTTTTTTTTATTATTACTGAAATGACAATCTGAACAGAACAGTCCACTTACAAAACATAGATTGTTCCTTCTAGAAATTGCTCACATTGATTTGGAAAATGTAAGGTAACATTTTTAGATTTTTTCACCTTGAAAGTTTTTTTTTTAGATCTCAGTTTTCTTAAATATGTTGATATTAGCAATGTCTTTTATGTTGATAATTCCTAATGTCATTAAAAATTGTAATAAATACATATATATATCTAAAATTTAAAAAAAATATATAAAAATAACTAAATTTTAAAAATAGGATATAAAACAAACCAGCAGTTATTTTGTAATGATTGGTTGTATGTATGGAGTACTTGTAGTTGTATTTATTCATGAACCATTAAGTCTTAAATCATATTGTATTTACCATTATACAGCTTGCTGTATCATTATATACATTAACATTTTTGTGTGAAGAAATCTGAAATTTTTGCTTGCTGCATTTCCTGAATTATGAGACATGAAATTCATTAATTAGTACAAAAAATGTTTTCGATAATTATTTTATATGCAATAAAAAACAAAATCTCACATGAAGATGAATTCAAATCGCATTAAAATGGATAAAACTCCCAAGAAAGGAAATAAAATTAATTATATAACAAGTACTCATGAGTACATATGTTTTTGAAAACAAAATTTTTGATTTCAGTTTTAAAATGATTTGATTGTATGAATAGGATTGGGATCAGTTGAAAACATCTATTGATTTTTTATTCTTATGAAAAACTTAATTTTGACCAGATATTATCATGTGTAAAGATAGCAGTATGATCATGTCTTCTAAGCTAGAAAATACAGCATAAAATATTTGTCATATCATTCATAATTTCTCTTCCACAAAGCATGAAGTTGATATTTTTGTTACGTAATTATGTACAGCCGAATAAAGATGGCAATACTGAATTTTACTCTTATTTGTTTTTGCCAGGGAAGATGTATCCAATTTAAGCAATCCTTCGACATTTAAGTAGGATTTCCTCAAGGTGACATTTGTTTTCTGTTTTCACATTAAATACACTTTACATTCTAATGCAATTGGTTTGACTTTACATTCTAATGCAATTGGTTAGAACGATAATTTTCATTGGACATTGACAAATAGTTTCAAAGGTTAGATTCCACGTTCTGCTAGTTCGTAATTAAGGAAAGCCACCATTTTGAATTTCGAATTTTTATACGACTGCAAAAAATTTTGCGTTTGTATTTTGGTATCACGTCGTCGTCCGAAGACATTTGGATTCCGGACAATAACTTTAGTATTAGTTAATTGAAATCTATGAAATTTAAACATAAGGTTTATAACCACAAAAGGAAGGTTGGGATTGATTTTGGGGGTTATGGTCCCAACAGTTTAGGAATTAGGGGCCCAAATAAGCATTTTCTAGTTTCATGACAATAACTTGTGGAACAGTGTACGGATCTCTCTGAAATTATGCCACAAGTTTCCATACCACAAAGGGATGGTTAGGATTGGCTTTGGGGGGTTATGGCTCTAACCGTCTAGGAATTAGGGGAAAAAAAGTGAGAAAAACCAAGAGTGTCCTGGTTAATGGACAATTACTTAAGTACAAATTACAGTGTAAGGGAGGTAATTCAAAAACAACCTTGAATTGCCTCCCTTACACTGCTTTTAAATTATGTATGAAGAATTTTTGTATTGTCTTGAGGTGATAAGCTGTCAATTCATTTTAGCTCACCTGGCTTGAAGGGCCAAGTGAGCTTTTCTCATCACTTGGCGTCCGTCGTCTGTCGTTGTTAGCTTTTTACAAAAATCTTCTCCTCTGAAACCACCAGGCCAAATTTAACCAAACTTGGCCACAATCATCATTAGGGTATCTAGTTTAAAAAATGTGTCCGATGACCCCGCCAACCAACCAAGATGGCGGCCATGGCTAAAAATAGAATATAGGGGTAAAATGTAGATTTTGGCTTATATCTCTGAAACCAAAGCATTTAGAGTAAATCTGACGTGGGTAAAACTGATAATCAGGTCAAGATCTATCTGCCCTGAAATTTTCAGACGAATCCGACAACCCGTTGTTGGGTTGCTGCCCCTGAGTTAGTTATTTTACAGAAATTTTAGTTTTTTGTTATTATCTTAGATATCATTATAATATCTAATATATAATACTATTAATTATGATTTTAACCTTATTTTACATGATTTCCAAAGCATCAGTAAGTACAGGTGAGCGACACAGGCTCTTGAGAGCCTCTAGTTAGAAGTTACTATTTTAATGATTTTAAAAATGCTGAATAAGGTATATTAATTTTAGCTATGATTATGTATGTCATTTTCTATTTTAAGACTTTTATGATGTATTTAAATGGGTTATTATGGTTGCAAACTCCATTGGAAATTTGAATTGAAATGATGACCATGACTGAGGGAAAAAAAATTTTTTTGGAAAAGGGGGGGGGGGGGGGGGGGGGGTTAAAAAAAATTGGAAAGGGGTGGGGGGTGGGACAATTTTTTTCTCCTCAAGATTTCAGAAATCAAAAAGAAAATCCGTCAATTTTTATACGACCGCAAAAAAATTTTTGTGGTCGTATATTGGTATGACGTTGGCGTCGTCGTCGTCGTCGTCCGAAGACACATTGGTTTTCGCACTCTAACTTTAGTTTAAGTGAATGGATCTTTTTGAAATTTTACCATAAGGTTAAATACCACAAAAGGAAGGTTGGGATTGATTTTGGGGGTTATGGTACCAACAGTCAAGGAATTAGGGGCCAAAAAGGGGCCAAAAATAAGCATTTTCTAGTTTCCAGACAATAACTGTGGAACAGTGTATGGATCTCTCTGAAATTATACTACAAGTTTCCATACCACAAAGGGATGGTTAGGATTTGCTTTGGGGGGGGTTATGGCTCAAACCGTTTAGGAATTAGGGGCAAAAAAGGGGGAAAAACAAGGTTGTCCTCGTTAATGGACAAATACTTTAGTACAAAACATAATTTAAAGCAGTGTAAGGGAGATAAATCAAATACATCATTGAAATTATCTCCCTTACACTGCTTTTAAATTATGTATAAAGTAATGGTTAATGAACAATAAAGATAATTTAAAACAGTGTAAGGGAGGTAATCTAATTACAATGTTTTGGTTACTTCCCTTACACTGCTTTTAAATTATGTTTAAAGAAATGCATATTTATAAAGGAAGACCAGTAAAAATATCTGCAAATGTTGCATCATTTTATTTTACAAAAAAATCTATATGAAAGATTTGACACTATATTTTTAATTCTATTATAAAATAGATTAAGTTAGCACTATGGTAAAATTAAATGGGTAATTATGGTTGCCAACTTCATTGGAAATTTGAATTGAGATTATGACCATATCTTGAGGGAAAGAATTTTTTGGGGGAAAAAAGGGGGGGGGGGGATAAAAAGAAATTGTGGGGGGTCAATTTTTTCTCATTTCAGATTTCAGAAATTAAAAAGAATTATTCTTCAAATATTATTTTTTTTTCAAATTTCAAATATTGAAAAATTTCAAGAAGTAATCTTTAATTGCACAGTATGGCGCATTAGATTTGTAAAATCTTTGATCACATTTATTTATTTGTTATGCCGAATCTAACAGTGTATTTAGATTTTTAATTTTGGGTCCAGTTTTCAAAATAGTCTACACTAAGGTCCAAAGGGTCCAAAATTAAACTTTGTTTGATTTTTGCAAAAATTGAATATATGAGGTTCTTTGATATGCTGAATCTAAACATGTATTTAGATTTTTGATTTTTGGCCCAGTTTTCAAGTTGGTCCAAATTGGGGTCCAAAATTAAACTTTGTTTGATTTCAACAAAAATTGAATATATGGGGTTCTTTGATATGCTGAATCTAACCATGTATTTAGATTTTTTATTTGTGGACCCCGTTATCAAATTGGTTCATATTGAGGTCAAAAGGGTCCAAAATCAAACTTTGTTTGATTTCATCTAAAATTGAATTATTGGGGCTCTTTGATATTCCAAATCTAACCGTGTATTTAGATTTTTAATTTTGGGTCCTGTTTTTTAAATTGGTCTACATTAAGGTCCAAAGGGTCCAAAATTAAACTTAGTTTGATTTTAACAAAAATTGAATTCTTGGGGTTCTTTGATATGCTGAATCTAAACATGTGTTTAGATTTTTGATTATGGGCCCAGTTTTCAAGTTGGTCCAAGATAGGGTCCAGTATTTAAACTTTGTTTGATTTCAACAAAAATTGAATATATGGGGTTCTTTGATATGCTGAATCTAAACATGAATTTAGATTTTTGATTATGGGCCCAGTTTTCAAGTTGGTCCAAATTGGGGTCCAAAATTAAACTTTGTTTGATTTCAACAAAAATTGAATATATGAAGTTCTTTGATATGCTGAATCTAACCATGTATTTATATTTTTTATTTGTAGGCCCCGCTATCAAATTGGTTCATATTGAGGTCAAAAGGGTCCAAAATTAAACTTTGTTTGATTTCATCAAAAATTGAATATGTGGGGTTCTTTGATATGCTGAATCTAAACATGTATTTAGATTTTTGATTATGGGCCCAGTTTTCAAGTTGGTCCAAATTGGGGTCCAAAATTAAAATTTGTTTGATTTCAACAAAAATTGAATATATGAGGTTCTTTTTTATGCTGAATCTAACCATGTATTTAGATTTTTTATTTGTAGGCCCCGCTATCAAATTGGTTCATATTGAGGTCAAAAGGGTCCAAAATTAAACTTTGTTTGATTTCATCAAAAATTGAATTATTGGGGTTCTTTGATATGCCAAATCTAACCGTGTTTTTAGATTTTTAATTTGGGTCCCGTTTTTTAAATTGGTCTTCATTGAGGTCTAAAGGGTCCAAAATTAAACTTAGTTTGATTTTAACAAAAATTGAATTCTTGGGGTTCTTTGATATGCTGAATCTAAACATGTGTTTAGATTTATGATTATGGGCCCAGTTTTCAAGTTGGTCCAAGTTGGGGTCCAAAATTAAACTTTGTTTGATTTCAACAAAAATTGAATATATGGGGTTCTTTGATATGCTGAATCTAACCATGAATTTAGATTTTTTATTTGTGGGCCCGCTATCAAATTGGTTCATATTGAGGTCAAAAGGGTCCAAAATTAAACTTTGTTTGATTTCATCAAAAATTGAATTATTGGGGTTCTTTGATATTCCAAATCTAACCGTGTATTTAGATTTTTAATTTTAAGTCCTGTTTTTTAAATTGGTCTACATTAAGGTCCAAAGGGTCTAAAATTAAACTTAGTTTGATTTTAGCAAAAATTGATTTCTTGGGGTTCTTTGACATGCTGAATCTAAATTTATGTTTAGATTTTTGATTATGGGCCCAGTTTTCAAGTTTGTCCAAAATTAAACTTTGTTTGATTTTAACAAAAATTGAATATATGGGGTTCTTTGATATGCTGAATCTAACCATGTATTTTGATTTTGGACATTGGACCATAATAGGTAAATTAAAAAAATTCAAGTTCTTAGACCACATTCTTTCTGTGTCAGAAACCTATGCTGTGTCAAATATTTAATAACAATCCAAATTCAGAGCTGTATCAAGCTTGAATGTTGTGTCCATACTTGCCCCAACTGTTCAGGGTTCGACCTCTGCGGTCGTATCAAGCTGCGCCCCAGCGAGGCATTTTATTTTTTATACGACCGCAAGAAAATTTTGTGGTCGTATATTGGTATGACGTTTGCGTCGTCGTCCGAAGACACATTGGTTTTCGCACTCTAACTTTAGTTTAAGTGAATGGATCTTTTTGAAATTTTACCATAAGGTTAAATACCACAAAAGGAAGGTTGGGATTGATTTTGGGGGTTATGGTACCAACAGTCAAGGAATTAGGGGCCAAAAAGGGGCCAAAAATAAGCATTTTCTAGTTTCCAGACAATAACTGTGGAACAGT